ATTACTCTAGACATGTATGGAAAATGACCATCCCAGGTTCCCACGGGTACTGTTCTGCGCGAGGCGTAAATATAGGTGTCCACTAAATCGCGTCCGAATTTGATTAGCTCCGGAGCAGCTTGGGGACATGCCAGACATCATTCTAATGATGGCTCCATGTTTCATTTTTGCTGCTTTTGCTTCCCTGCTGAGACCGAGGCGTTCCGGTGCCTGTTCCGGCCGTCACAATAGAGGTCAACAGACCTACTAATGGGGCGCTGAACGTGGGAACGTTGCATTGACCATGGGAGTCGTGCGCTTGTAATGTATGTACAGATTGCTAAACAGTGCTTGCACACTTTTAGCAATACTGTCAACACCAGTCATCCCATGATGACCTGGGCTGTCCCAATGGGTGTTGGCAGTGTCTATGGGTGGTCCCCAATGCGTGGGAACCGGGCGCTTGGTATAGCGCAACTTTGTTATACATTTGTACAACAAGTGTGCACATCACTTCAACAATATTATCGTCTCCCCCTCCTCCGCTTGCTATATAGTTCATATCTTTGACTAACTATTGCATACCCCATATTTCCATTTCTTTCCTCATAACCTCTTCTCTATTTACGCATTTTTTCAATTACGTTCGTTTGGTCGTTTCTTTATTTTGTCTTTTATTTGTCCTACCTTTTAGGTATAAATGTGATACTCTGTTATGGCACCATGATGGAATGACTGAGGACAGTCAAATTCTAAGTTTCCCACAATTAATGTCATACCAGAACATAGGTTCGGTATAGACATTAGGAATTAGGATGTACCTCTGAACCCCTAGGAGCGAAGCCCCTAGGATATTATCCATTGTTGGGTTATTGTTCTATCTTTCCATTGACGTTCGTTCGTCATGGAAATTCGTCATAGAGACCTGTAACAATGGATTCTATTGTTCCACGTCTCCATATAATTTGCCGTGGAAATCACTAATAATGGTGTCCATTGTCCCTCTATTATTCCATTGTATACATATATTTATTCTATTGTTCCAACAAGGCATTGTTCATCTTGTCCATTGTCCTACCTCTATTATACTACTGTATACTATTATTTGTCCTATTATCCCTGTAGGTCTTTGTTTCTTAAAGACCATTGTTCCCCGTATTTATTTGTATTTACCTCACTATTCCTACCATTGTTCTTAGGTACAAATAGTTTAGGTATAAAAGGGAGCTAGTCTCTCTGCCAATATATATACAAGTTATCACCCACATTCTAGTTCTTGAGTTCAGCTGTATCTGAAACAAGTAGGATACTAGCATTTCCGTTTGTAGAGACCTGAAAAGTAAGTACAGTCTATTTCTTTTGCTAAGTCTGCACCAAAACGAGTAGGTGACAGTAACGCACTAACAGCTAAGTCTGCACTGAAAACGAGTAGGTGTTAGTAACACTATTTTGACAGTTTGACTATCCCGAAACGAGTAGGATTCTGGCATACTAACTTCTGTTTATTAGCTATCTAGTTCATTCCATAGGTTTATTATATAGACCTATAACCCTGTATATACTTGCTACCTACCGTACAAGTGGATACACCACCACACCCCTTTTTACTTAGGAGTAGTATTGTTGATTGACATACTATTTCTATTAACCGACCTCACCCTATCCATACCCTTCTGAGAGTATTTCCTCTATTCCAATAATCCCGAAATCAACGAACGACCAGGTGCAACTCGATGCAGTAGTCCACGACCATTTGGGCACTAATTCATTAACCTGACTTAGTGTGACACCGCGTTGCTGAGTCCGCAGACTGTCCGGATGAGGATGACTTTGAGGAATGGTACAGGGCAGCGCAGCGGGTTGCTGACAACCGTGCCACTAACCAATCCTTCCACTTTGGCATGCACTCCGGAAACTCCGGACACTCCGGACCCCTCGTCCGACCAGCAGCCAACTCTGGAGTCGCTCAGACTCCTGCGGGTGTACTTCCCGCACCTTGGACTCAGCTCCCGCCTCTGCAACCCCGTTTCCAACCTCCACCTCCTCCGAAGGCTCTCTCACTCGGCGTCCCAATGGATGTCAACCACACCTGCTCCCGACCCGCCACTTTGCAGCTCTGCTACCAATGCGGCAAGCCCTGTCACATGTCCCACGAGTGCCCACTCCAGTACAATGTCCGGTTCATGACCACCGAGGAGTGGATGTCCGCCATTGAAGATCTCTTGACCACGGCCGATGTTGTAGAAAGTGTGGGGACTTCGGAAGGAATAGATGATGAGGGAACGGCCCGGGTTGAGGAATCGGACACAGCGGATTTTGTCCAGACCAATGAGTGATCAGTGCGACCTCGTTGGTGAATAACTGATTTGCTTGTCTTAGCGTAGATGAAATAGACGATTCCAATCACTCTGATGATTTGTCCGACATTAAGCAAACGACTTTGGTTACAATCCGCACACTCCGAAGGTTTTGCCCACAGTGGGAACGGCGGCTACCCAGTAGCTATAAGATCTCTGTGCTGCCCAGCAAGCTTTCGCTAGATATACCCGTTGAAGTGCAGAGCACAGATACACAACACAGATGCACCCTGCAGGCCCTGGTGGACTGCGGAGCCACCGGAGTCTTCATGCATCCGCACTTTGCTGATGCCCATGGTTTCACCCAACGCAAGCTGTCCGCTCTGATTCCGGTCTTCAACGTTGACGGTTCACCAAACAAAAACGGATCCATCTCCGAAGTCGTGGACCTTGTACTCCGGTTCAAGAATCACGTGGAATGGATGCTTTTCACGGTCACTAACATCGGACGGCAGGACATCATCCTTGGATACACCTGGCTTTGGAAGCACAACCCTGAGATTGACTGGCAGACAAAGGAGGTGACCATGAGCCATTGTCCGTCCGGATGCGACACCTGTCGGAAGGAGTTCCGCCATGACAAGCTGACCCGACGCAAGGAGTCCATGCGACTCCGGGAGTGTCGTACGGGTCCGATGCCAAGAGTTGAGGAGCTGCACTCGGACAATCTCCCAGAGCTTCAGGACTGCAAGGATGATGAGGCTACAACTCTGGACGACTCCGGACTTGAGAAGGGTGACTGTATCTTTGTAGCCATTCCTCCTCCGACTCCGGAGTACCTTTGAAGTCTTTGGGAAGAACATGTCTGGGCTTTGAAGACAGTCTCACGGCAGCTCGCATTGGCTTTCCAGCACAACAAACCCCAAGATCCTCGGAACAGCACTGTTAGGGCGATGCTAATACACAACAAGGCGTACGCGAACCCAACAAGAATAAGAGTGAGAAGTAGTAGATTTAGAGAGGTAAGAGGTGAGGGGCGAGAACGAAGACACTGACTTAGGCACTAGTATTAGTGGTATTCCCAAGAGAACGAGTTAACGTCTCTGGGTGTTTATTAGGGCACTTATATACTACTATACATGCTACGTCCTCATGTCTATCTACACGCTGTGTCCTACCGTCTTTCCATGGAACGGTTAGCTCAGCTGCATGAGGTATGACGCTTGTTGACTGCGCCCATGCAGTAGCGGTGAGGCGCTGACTGAGACTATTAGTAAGACGGCCCGGATGATGTAAGTAGTATATTGTAAGTAACTATGCTTAAGTAATGCATTGCGTGCCCGATAAGATAAGGAGAGATGGTTGAAAAAGAAAAGAAACGTTGAGCCATAACAAGCACAGTCTCGGACTTCCTTCAGGAATTTGAGGACGTCTTCGCAAAGGAGTCCTTTGATGAACTGCCCATGCCGTGTCCGTGGGACCATGCCATTGAGCTGCTGGACGGAGCGGAGTCGACCTCTACCAAGTGCTATCCACTGTCCCCGTCGGAGCAGAAACAGCTGGACGAGTTTCTGGAAGAAAATCTCAGGACTGGTCGGATCCGCCCCAGCAAGTTGCCCATGGCTGCCCCAGTGTTCTTTGTCAAGAAGTGTTGAAGTGATGTGCACACTTGTTGTACAAATGTATAACAAAGTTGCGCTATACCAAGCACCCGGTTCCCACGCATTGGGGACCACCCATAGACACTGCCAACATCCATTGGGACAGCCCAGGTCATCATGGGATGACTGGTGTTGACAGCATTGCTAAAAGTGTGCAAGCACTGTTTAGCAATCTGTACATACATTACAAGCGCACGACTCCCACGGTCAATGCATCGTTCCCACGTTCAGCGCCCCATTAGTAGGTCTATTGACCTCTATTGTGACCGCCGGAACAGGCACCGGAATGCCTCGGTCTCAGCAGGGAAGCAAAAGCAGCAAAAATGAAACATGGAGCCATCATTAGAATGATGTCTGGCATGTCCCCAAGCTGCTCCGGAGCTAATCAAATTCGGACGCGATTTAGTGGACACCTATTTTCACGCCTCGCGCAGAACAGTACCCGTGGGAACCTGGGATGGTCATTTTCCATACATGTCTAGAGTAATAGACACAAAGAGTCAATAGAGCGCAAATCATTACATATTATTGATTGATTGCATCAACACATCATTAGTGATTGTTACCAAGGCAATTAGAGTGTATTAGGATGCTTCTACAAGCTTCTAATCAGACTATAATAGCCTAAAGTTTAACAGTAACAAGTTCAAATGGTATCATTTGGAGTGGAAGTGGAAGTACAGGAGAGGAGAGAGAAGTGAGTAAAGTATGACATGACATGCATATATAAGAATATGAATGTCATGTGATTGTTACCTAGGGATCAGGAGACAGGAGTGAACCGCAGGGTTTATATTATTTCAGTTTCACTTGAAGATGTGGTATATAACAGAAATTTTTTTTTCACAATCCTGTTAAAGACAGTGATGCTGCTATATTCTAACATCAATATAATCATGAATTATATTGTATCATCCACTACATCTTGCCCTACAATTGTTTTGAATCAAGAATCACAAACATAAAAATAAACATACCATTTAGTTCTAAAATCGTGTGTAAGGAAAGCAGTCTAAATGATATGATTGGTTACACACCTAGTATTGACTCCTTCCCTTCTTACACTACGCTTGGCATCATCCAAAGCTTTGGCCAATCCCCATAGCACCCTGGCCTTGTGGGGATGCAAAACAGAATAATTCAGTAAAGAGGGCAAAAGCCCTAAATATCGGAGAGCAGCAATCCGCAAATGCTATTTCAAAACATCAATAAATAAATAATGGAAAAGAAATCAAAATTTAATCACTGTAGATGATCCAAGCAAATCTAGGCCAATGTTGAGCATGTTATCAATCAAGGTAGAGGCATGTTGAGCTAGAATTTTCGGTGTAGCTTGTTTACTAGACATTGCAGACAGTGTGTTTATGCTGTTTGCTCTAATGTCAACATCTGGCAACTCAAGACTGCAGATGAGAAGTGGCATAAGCTAGAGTATGTTGTTGGTGAGTACAGCAAACAAGAGCTAAAAATTATACTTCACACCTCAGAGGCTTGGTGGATATAGATAGCACAAGGCACAGAGTGAAGCAGGGAACTCAGAGCAGCAAGGTATGAAAGTTGTGCAGGATCTGTAACAGAAGAAGTCAATGATATTCATCTATGAAAAGGATGAACTTACGTGATGTATTAACATTACTTAATATCAATGGCAGCATGGTATTGACATACTTTTGTACATGCAGCATCTAGAGTTGTGCATATATACCTGTTAAAATGCTACCTTTGACTAGTACAGATGGACTCACCTTGACAACAGCATGGTTGGACTTTGTTAATACCATATCGGTTCGAAGGCTATCTCCAATTGCCAAAGCTGCCTCCCGATTAATGGGTGTTTCCTCAAACAGGTCCATCAATTGTGCAGAAAGCTGTGATGCTTGTGGATGATCCCGGCGTAGCAACGCCTTCCCAACCTTATATGATAGTAAGTGAAGGTGTAGATAGAGATGTTTACAAAGATGTTTTACCCATATCCAGGCACGGATTGAAGCACGCCGCCGTTCATAATCAATGTCTTTGTTAAGAACATTGGTCCTCCAAAATTCGTTCAGTTGCCTCAGTATAGCAGAGGGTGAATCTATGGTATGTTCATCATAAATATAGGTGGATTGGAGCAGCAGCTTTCCCTTACCATCAATATGTTTGTTCAAAATAGATGAGCCCACTCCCCAAGCGGATTGTGCCTGATGTTCATTTGTGGCATCATAAACACCCCAATTGAGCAGTAACTTTATGAATGGATGAATCTCGTCAACCGGCAACTGAACCTGGCCATGGTAGAAGTGTGAGTGCCAGTGCCATGAGCTAGGGAATAGGTCAATACCTCAGGGTACAGAGGATAGAAGCAGGCTGCTGCGAGCGGCACTAGGTTCTTTTCTGCATCGGAAGCAGAATCCTACACCATGGTCTCAGCAACTTGATTCCATAGAGGTATAAAGACATTACCCACACTGAAAGGTGCGAATCGAGCATCTTTAGGTATTCGAGGAAATCCAAAGGCTATCGCGTGGGGATCTCCTTTGAAGAAGGCAGAGTAAACAGAATCTATCTGAGCTTTTTGGCGCCTGCATTGAAGTAAGCTCTCGACGGACGGTTAATGTGTCACACGACCCACTGAGGATTAGCTGCTCGTGAGAGCATGGAAATAATCTCTGCAGCTAGCGACACTACCCTGCGTTCTGCTGCCAAGAACTGGTGATCAGTACTGATGGCAGAATAAATAAACCAATTATAGAGGCGAGGCAGCAAAAGTTCTTCGTATTTCGGAATGTCTACGTGATTGCCGGCGACCTTGGCTTCGAAGGATGTGGATAATGCCTTTAGCAACGCAAATCCGTAAGCCGATATGGCTTCGCGGTCCACTAGATCATTTCCTGATACAGGGAACAACACAATCTCGAATTTAGTTGTCAAGCGAATGTAAAGGGTTTCGAAGTGCTCGCGAGTGGTGCATAGAGTAGGAAGAGCAGCAAGCACTCTTTTGATTAGTCTGTGCTCGACGGCAGCATCCCGTTCTAGAGGGCGATCGGGGAGGGCGGAGAATAGGAGGGGTAGGGCGGTCTCGCCCAAGTGCCGAGTTTCATTCACCATTGACAGGAACGTCACTATTCGATCACTAAAAGCGCAGGTGATGAATAGGCAGCGCGTACAGTAACAGGAAAAACACACTTGAACTCGTCGTTGGTTTCGCTGGGCTGCAGGAATGCCTCAGTTAACGTTCGAATGAAGTAGCCAATCTCTTCGGTAGTGAGCAGTCCTCGAATTGCTAACATAACTTGCAGGAGAGCAAGAGTTTGTTGGCGACAGGTAGATAACTCGAACCCAGCACTCAAGACACCCATAAGCTCGTCCTTGAAAGGTAGGAGAATCGTGACATCATGGCATGCATCAGTTACCCGGCATAGCAGTAATATGACGGGTGGTCGATTGGCAGTTTCGGTAGGATCATTAAAGAGTTTGAAGAGCAAAGGGAGAGCTTTGGCGACGATGACCTCGGACGATGAACCTACAACTCTGTTAGCGTCAACTTCGGAGGGCACTAATAGGCCTTACTATTAGCTGCCATCATGGTGCACAAAAGTTTCATTGATGCTTTAGCCTGGCTTTTCTCGGGTTCCTGCAGCTTTTGAACGCATTCCTCGTATATTATATCCCTCAGGGGCGCAGCTTGACCGGCATCGGTCGAAGAAATCACGCGAATAAAGGACTTAATGGTATCGAGAGCAGTCGCTTCAGTAGAAGGATCGGTTGGTTGGAGCACCTTCCATACAGGTGAGTAGGCCTCGCACTAAGATCGCACCCACAGACCTCTATTTTCAATGAATTCCAGATCGATTTAGCGTGTTCGAAGATGAACTCCGCGCCATAGACGGGCAGGCAATCGGTCATACTTTCCAGCGTATCTCGCTGTAGACATTGTGAACGAGGAAATTTGTCGAGTAAATTAACACGCTACCTTTGTGACCGGGGAGCCTGCCGTCAACTTCTCGAGAAACAAAGGTATGGCCAGAGGACCAAAAGAAGGGTGAGCGCTCAGGCAGTCTCTGCAATAGCCGTTATTCAGTACCAGAAAATGAAAATTATCCTGATTGTACAGTACCTCAACCTTGATTTTAAATCTTCAGCCGTTATTCCGTATGGATCGCCAGGTGGAGGTCTGAACGAAATTGGAAAATAGCAGAAAGTGATGTTGAAGAAATTCTACGGTTTCGATGTTCAGTTCCATTGACGTGGAAGGCCATAAATTACATACTTCCACATGATGAGAGACATCGAACTCGATGAGCAACACTCGCGCAATTGCAAATGCGACGAGTAGATTCCTCGGGTCTTTTTCACCTTCTGCGAGGGATACATAGCCCGAGATGAACTCAGTCCCCAGACCCTGGAGGGCTGGATTCCGATTAGATGTGCAAAACGACGACAGATGTAGAGATACACCTTTTCTGTGTTTAGTGAGCAACGTGTCCACGATGGAAAATACATGATACCGGACTGCTTGTACCAGGGCCTTCATCTTGACGTACGTGAAGATGCTGCGGCATGAATCAAATGACGACAAGGGTAATCGAAGAAGAAAGGAAACATACGCCCTGATAACGGCTACGGCGTCCTCCGAGGATAGGTTTGGCTGCTTGGACAAGGCAACTAAGCCGTCCAGGGCGGGAACAATGGTCTCTGTGTCATCAAGCTTCCCGCAATAGAATAGGGTTAAAGCATGCACTGATGACCGGGAAATTTTGAGCCTCAACCACGATGAGGAGAACGGATTATGACTCACCTGTCTGGCGATTTGTTGTGAGATTGCCTTGATGTAGCACGGACGACAGAAGTCCAACACCTGATTGACAAGATAGATTGAATGTAAGGTCCATGTCTGCGAGGGGAATAGGCGAACCCTTTGTGCGTAATTCATCTTCCTCGGAGGTGAGATAACCCCCAAGAGATTTAACAAGATCAAGGAGGGCGAACTGTGCACTCGAGACGGCTGCGAAGACGAATTAGGAACCTCCGAGTCGATAACGCTGATGATGAGTTACGGACCTGTTACAATGTCGCCGACGATCTGATCCTTCTTAGAAGTCGCGGCCATCCATGTCTGTACCAGTCGTAGAGATTTGGCTTGGGAATTCTGGTCGTCCATGTACTATAGCAGCTAACTAAAATTTGTCCCCTGAAGTTGTCAGTGGCTCGTTGGACTTGGATTCAGAAATTAGCGCCCATTTCTGTTCCGCAACTCGACCGTCGCGCGACAAGCGCGAATGAGGATTCATGCTACCTCTCCCCTACGCGCATTCTCCTGCTACAATTCCTTGCGCCGGTACCAGCTGAAAGTCGAATTTTCCACGACCGCCACGCGTACAAAGCGTCGGGATAAATGGAACTACAACACGTCTCCCTTGCTCACGACCGAGGACGGGGACTCCGCCCAGTACGACGTTGTCACTGCGAACGACTTGGAGTCGGCAGAACGCCCTCCTCGCGGTGTCAAGATGCTTGTCCGAGATTTCATTGAGGATTCCTTGTATAATCCTCAATACGGGTACTTTCCCAAGCAAGCAACTATTTTCGATACTGCTGACACGCCGATCGACTTTCAAGCAATGAAAGATGCAGTTCAGTTTCAAGAGGAAGTTGCGATCAAGTACACTGCTTACGGGTCTGACAAGCACGCTGGTCCAGGAAAGCAATTGTGGCATACACCAACAGAACTCTTCAAGGTATGTACCACTTAAAGATCACCGTCTCCGGAGTGTCCCTATTCACTCGTATTTTCAAGCCGTGGTACGGAAGAGCGATAGCGCAATGCTTGGTTTCTGAGTATCTCCTCAAATACTTCCCGTACGAGGATTTCAACATTTATGAAATCGGCGCTGGCAACGGAACACTGGCTCTAGATATTCTCAATTATCTCAAAGAAGAATACCCGGACGTCTACGAGCGTACGCGTTACAATATCATTGAGATCAGCGCCAACCTAGTGAACCTTCAGAAAAGGAAGCTTCGGCCACTACATCCATGCGTTAGGGTCTTCCACAAAAGCATCTTCCACTGGACGACACGAGAGCCGGCACCGTGCTTCTTCCTCGCCATGGAAGTCATAGTAAGTCTCTTATATGTGTCGGGATGCCTTCATCTTAAACAAAAACAAATTTAGGACAACTTCGCCCACGATGCCGTCAGATACGATCTCCGTACTTTCGAGCCACGGCAAGCGTCCATTGTCGTGGACAAACACGGTGATTTTGATATGATGTATACCCCCGTGACGGACCATCTTATTTCCTCCTTCCTGGACCTACGTCGGCAACTAGGGCAGCAGCCCTCCGTTTCCAGACTACTGCAACGGTTCCCCTCCCTGCGCAGCGTCTACGCAAACCTACCCTTTGCCGCCAATCTCTCTCCCCCAGAATTCATCCCCACTCGCCTTCTCAGTCTCTTAAGAACGCTGCGGGCGCATTTTCCGCGGCATCGCCTCCTGCTCACCGATTTTTCGTCTCTCCCGAACCAAATCCCAGGGCACAATGCCCCGGTTGTTCAAACACGGCTCCGGAACCTCACAGTGCCATGTACAACGTTACTTGTCCAACCAGGCTACTTCGACATCTTCTTCCCCACCGACTTCGACATGTTGCGTAACATGTACGAGTGCATACTTTCCCAACCATTGCCATCGCAAACAGATAACCTATTCCCCGACCACCATACACCCTTGACGGCGTCGGCGTCGTCGTCAGCATTAGGAGCCAGCTTCTTTTCATCGCATCATCCGAGCGATAGACGAGCACCTATGGACGGTGTTGCCTCTGCCAGTGGCCTGCCTGTAGGCGAAAGAAAGTCCAGCGTATTCACTCATTCAGAGTTCCTCGAAACATATGGTGAACTCGATCGAACACGCCTTCAGAACGGAGAGAATCCAATGGTTGACTTTTACAAAAACGTGAAGTTCTTGTTCTGAGGCTTCACTAGCCATTTAGTGATTGGTCTATGTACGTAGAATGTATAAATAATAATGGAAGAAGTCGCCTAATTCCTTCACTTCTAGCGTAGTCTGCGGTTTTGTCAAGTAGCGTTTGCGAAAGTGAGGCTGTCCGAAGGTTAGATATACAAATCTCCCTGTGCCCTTCTTCAATACCCTGAACGCGACGGTTGGTCAACGTAGATCATGGGTAGTAGCTTATTATACTGCTACCTGACAACCTCCATTACTTCGCGCTCGCAGTCTTCTATCACCTGGGCAGGTGGATCCTGCGCACCGTTATCTCAGCGAGAAAAAACGTCAAGATTCAATCCTCAGTCTGACTTACCCATACGTCTCCCTTGGATGTCATCATAGCGTCCATGGTCCCTGATAACCTCCCCTTAGCGGTGTGCACATCCAACTATCAGGGTCCGCACCTTTATCAATGGCAACGTCAAAGGCATCGTCCGCAAATTTCAGATCTCTGATATCCATTTCAAGCCCTAAAAGGTAATTCTAGACGTCTACTCCACGGGTACATGGTCAAACGAACATGTGAGCTCGGGGCGCCGTTCTGCGTGCCGTCGCTGCATCTTGTCGATGACGACCTGCGAATACTGGCAACCAATTTGAGTGCGATTTTGGAGAGATCGCCCAGACACCACAAACATCGATGTTGACAATATTCTTGTACCCATCGTCGTACATCTACAATCAACTCAGCCGACACCAGTGATATAGCGAGTGTAGTTCGGACTTGTTCAGTAAGTTTAGAGTTTCCACATCCAAGCATGAGTATCCGGGCAGCTCTGTCGGGAATTATGTCGTGGATGGTTGAGGAAATTTCGCCGTAGGATTTGAACCAATCAAAAGATGAATCTTCGTCTTCCCTAGTAGAAGGATTATTCTGTATCCATACAGAGGGCGCGGATGAATGATTACTGGCTATATCTCTGATCCCTAAGAAGACATCAAGAATGTGGCGAATTGAGATGGAAGAAGTGTTTTACTCACCAATACTCTTTCGACCGGTACTCCTCATTTTTTGCAGGAAGGGAAGCCATCTCTGCTCAAGGATACTGTAGTCAACAATGCTGACTAGAGGGTGATCAAGCTCTGTTTACGGCTAAGGACTTTGCCAAATAAGTATCGTGTGTGATCAATTCACACTGAACCACTACCCGGCCGCCTCCTTTCTTGTTCTCATACTACCACTTCAACTGCATACGTGTCTAGTTCAAATATGGTGCGCTCAGAGCTCTTCACCCACCACGCAATCACTCTGACGCGCTGCTGTAGTCAGCGTACCCCGCCTATGTAATGGGTGGTTTGTGTATCATTGGCGGGATCACAGGATTCGCTCGTACGCGTTCTATCCCGTCCTTGGTTGCTGGTGTCGGGTGTGTTCCCTTCGTATCGACACTTTGCACAAAATGCTAACGGATTCGCAGGGTGGGACTGCTCTACCTATGGAGCGCTGACTCCATCCGTAAGGGAGCTCCTAACGGCATTGAAGGCGCCCTTGGTAAACCCCCCTACAGACTCTTCCCCATATACATTGCTAACCAAGAATACAGGTGCCTCTGCCCTTCTCCTCGTTTCTTCCCTTCCCCGCGTTGCTAAAGGCCCAGTCCCGGCTATCCTGGCGACGACTTCTACTGCCGCTGGGTTATACTATGGTAATAAGTACTTAGCACTGAGATGATCGCCCATTCACCGTTGGCTACATATATGTAAGAAGCAATATACAACTGGTTTGTTTTGTGTCCATCGAATTTCAGCCCCTGTACCCCAGATTCTACACGTGCGTCACATCGTAACGGTATTTCACGGCTTGCACCCAACGTCGTGCCGCGAAGACGCAACACCGAACTTCTCCTTAGTAAGTCGGCACTAGCTGAGGCTTTTCATCAATTTATGTCACGCTGTACGACTAAAGATACCCGGTAACCCCATGCTGGTGCATCAGCAGCGAAGTGGGAAAGTTTACGCCTCCTTCAAATGCGAGCAAACTCTGTCGCAGAGAACGTTCTAGGTACCCTTGGTAGGGGTAATGGATCTTACCGACCCTGGTTGTTTCTGATCCTTATTGTCACAGGGGCTGTGTGTTGGACTGCTCAACTCCTTCCGCAAGTTTGGAAAAGCTGGCGGGAAAAATCGACGAAGGGGCTGTCGCCTTGGCTAGTGTAAGAAGGATCACAACATAACAGCCTCGTGCGACGCTTCACCATAATTTAGATTGCTTTGGGCGGTATCAGCAATCTTCCTCGGCGCATATGTCGTCGTTCAGAATCTCAACATACCGTTGATACTTCAACCACAGCTTTTTGGATTCCTCTGTCTAGTTTCCTGGTCCCAAGTTCGTCACCGTCGATTGCCGATGAAATATCTTCCCAATTAATCGATATATCAGTGTTTGCATTATGGCCGGAACCTCTCAACGAGGAAGGTTGCTCCTGTTTTCATTGCCGCAATAGGGATCGCGGGGGGGCTTCAAGCAGGTTTGGTATTTGCAGTCATGGTCAGTTAGCGTTCCGACTGACTGACTGCGACATGCACTAACCATATGTCCACCTCAGCCATCATACGATAAGGGAGAGAGCAGACCCGTCGCTGCCTTGGGCATACTCAGTTCCGTGCTCCTTTCCCTCGCACTTTTCCCTCAATACTATGAAATATACAAGCACAAAGAAGTCGTCGGAATATCCATCCCGTTCATATTTATAGACATGATGGGCGGAGTCTTCTCCGACCTGTCTCTACTATTCAAGGAGAAGTTCGATGTTATCGCTGGTGTTGCCTATTCGCTCGTTATAGTGCGTGTCTTGAACTTCCGAACACTAGCATCTGTCTGACTGGAGTAAAGGCGTTGGACGCCGTGGTACTCCTCCTGGCGCTAATACTGAATCCACGAGCTCGACGTGCTCGCCGGCTAGCAGCCATATCAAACCCCCAAATGGACAATGTTGCGACTCCGGGCGTACCATCGAGGCGTCCCAGCTCAATTCAAGGGGGATAGTCGCGAGAGGAGGATTTCAGAATGGGTATGTCTAGACAGGTCTAAGGGTCCCACACACATTAGAACCGCATAAGCTACCTACACGCAATTACATACTCAAGTAGACGAGACGATTAAATGAACGACTGGTGTTCTCGCGGTATCGAGTGTGTTTGATCAAGGACGATTTCGGCTGAGGCCTGTGGGTATCGAGATATTATGTTCATCATCTTGAGAACTGACGCTTGCCGTACTTTCGTCGGTTCCAAATTTTGAGTGACTACGTGAGCTCATCAATTCTTCGTCGTCAAACAGGACTTCCTCTTCGTCGCCATCGGAAGGCTTTGCTGCGACGTTTGGGCGGCCTAACGACGAAGAGCCTTTGATCTTGTGAGTCCGACTTGGTGCGCCTACGAAGTCCGCGAAGCTTGAAATAGAGTTGCCGGTGTTCGGCGTTCGCAATGGAGCGCGATAGAAGGCCTCGACGTCGTCTTCATCGCCCTCCGGTAGCAGCGAAGAGTCATATCCTGAAGCGAGTGGTGTAGAGACAGACCGTGTTTGAGAGAGTGATCGGTAAGAGCCTTTGCGAAGGTGAGACGCATAAGAGTAAAGTAGAAGAGCAAAATAGATCTAAAATTCGACAGTCAGCTTCGGCGTTGAAGGTGTCGGACGTAATACAGACCTTGACCAGCCACGAGATGATGATGACGGTAGCGGCGGTGCTTTTCTCGTGAGTCCATATGGTCATCGCGGCGGTGGCTCGCTCGGCATCAGTCATGTTGTTTATCGGGCCCCCTTCCATCATTTTCTTCTGTGCCTCCGAGTTGGCTATGCGTCGCCCATCATGAGGTGTGTATATCCACCAGGCAACGGCAAAAAAGACCGTCCAAATTGTGGAGAAGATGTGGTCAATGAAGAAGAAATGGGCGAAATAGAGTGTGTTCTTGGCATCCTCCTGGGCTCAGATGCTTCAGTAAAGTAAATCAAAGACGATGGACAGTGGCGCTGACCTGCTTGATCGCATTCAGTCCCCAGACCAACCCTCCGAGGGCGATCGCAGAATAGATGTACAGGCTCAGCTGCGCGAATGAGCCTCCTGCCCCGGTGACCACCGCAATGAGGCCATACACGCCCGTTACTTTATTGAATAACTGAAGCAAGAGTCATTTTCCGGATGCATGATGCGAGCACTGGAACCAACCGCAAAGAGAAGAGCGATAGTGACACCGGTCTTGATATCCAGCACTCCCAGAAAGGACGACAAAGGCCACAGTCGCCATTCCGGTCGTAGTGTCAGCTTCATGGGATGATGGAAGAGATTTAAAAACCGCAGTCACGCCAGTGTTCTCGAAGCTTTGACCTATTACGTAAGGCACCGACCCTTCTTTCAATACTTTCACTCGCTCCGTCTGTAATAAACGCTAAAGTTATGTCTTACTTCTCCAATCAGTCCAACTCTCGTTTCCTCGCAAATTCTAGTGGCAACAACTCCAGCGCGGCCTCAACCACCTCCAACGCAACAAGCTCTTCCCTTCCCTCCAACAACGACTCTGCAGCCACCAAGCCCCGGCAGCCGTCCTCCAAGCTTTTTTCTACCTCTATATATTCACCCCAGCCACTGAAAGGACACTTTATCACTCCGAGCGGCGTTCATCCTCTCAAAAATACGTATGTTCGTACACCTTCGCAAACACGTTCGAATACCTTGACGGACCTTGTTCTAGCTGGATCTTCTGGTTCCGCCAGCAACGCACCCCGGGAAATAAAATCGTCAGCTACGAAGAAGGCATAAAGAAAATATCTGCCTTTGCTTCAGTGTGTATAGTTGTGTCTTGCCGTCCGAGGTACGGACATTCAACCATATCCGTTTCTAGGTAGAATCATTCTGGACTTTGTGGACGCACTTGGTGCCACCCTCGGCCCTTCTTCCTACCACGGATTATCTTCTCTTTCATACCGGTATACGCCGACCAATATGGGAGGATCCTCTTAACATCAATGGAGGAAAGTGGATTATTCGCCTGAAGAAAGGCGTAGCCGATCGGCTTTGGGAGAATCTGGTATTGGCTGTCGTTGGCGACCAATTCGATGAATGCCGGCAGCCTGAAGATGGTAACCCCGTGACAGATGGGGAAAGCTCTGGAGAACCAAACGAGAACGATTCTGTTTGGCCAGAGATCTGCGGATGCACTATAAGCGTTCGACAAAGCGAAGACATCGTCACTCTCTGGAATCGTGTAGACGCCGACAAGAAAGTCAGAGAAAGGATTAGGTAGGCCTATCTGTAGCTCTCACTTTGACGCGTGCATTCATGTCGACTTCCCATAGGGACACGATACGGAAAGTGCTAGACCTACCTGCTTCAACGATTATGGAATATAAATCCAATAATGGTACGTCCTTTGCAGACCTCGATACGTTCTACTCACTCCCGGCAAACAGACTCCATGCACGACCGATCTAGTTTCCGGAATTCTGCTATCGATCGAACGCCCCTCCCTTAGTAGTTCAGATGAGTCGGTGCTTGACGAACAATTGCTGCACTTGCACGGTCGATATCGGTCTTTATAATACTGCGATTCCAAAATTTTGTGGATGCAATTAAGGACAGGCGACGCACTGCGAACGCTTTTGAGATTTGACCCGGACATGCGAAATTGTATATAGAGCAAGCAGGTAATGCGGGTTTCAGCTGCCGGTCTTCCTAAATTCGAGCTGTTCCCCCAGTAGGACTCGAAAGTGACAGCGTTTGGTGAATAAGCTGGGAGCCCCTGTCTTTGTAAGCGCCGAGTGACTAATTGGTTTAGTCATCCCTTGCTCCTGACCATATAAAGTCAGGGTTCACTTTTTGACCCACACAAATCCCCCCGGAAGTCTGTGAGTACGCCTTCCCGTTCGTCTGAAGTCTCCCAATTCGCCTGGAGCCACATCTGGTTCGTTTGATTGCTAGACGATGCTTTTCTTGCAAGGTTTGAAGAGATTTGGGATGGATGGCTTGATGGGCTTTAGGATGACGTTCAAACGGGCCACAGAGAGAGCAGTGTACTGACCAGTTGCTCATATCAGATAATGGGTCGCCGTCCCGCTCGCTGCTACCGCTACTGCAAAAACAAGCCGTATCCCAAGTCGCGGTACAACCGTGGTGTTCCAGACCCAAAGGTGCGCCCAAACCGCTACGATTTAGCCTCGCGGAAAAGACCAACCTCTACTAGATCCGCATCTTTGACTTGGGCCGTAAACGTGCCTCCGTCGATGAGTTCCCCTTCTGCTGCCATCTCGTCTCCGATGAATACGAACAACTCTCCTCCGAGGCCCTCGAAGCCGCTCGTATCTGCGCTAACAAATACGTCACCAAGACGTCTGGCAAGGACTCTTTCCACATGCGTGTCCGTGTCCACCCCTTCCACGTTCTGCGAATCAACAAGATGTTGAGTTGTGCTGGAGCTGATCGGTGCGCCTTCTTAAACCCTCTCACAAAATTTAGCCCTTAAGCCATTGGCGACTAGACTCCAAACTGGTATGCGTGGTGCTTGGGGAAAGCCCTATGGCACCGCCGCTCGTGTCAACATCGGCCAAATTATCCTTTCCATCCGCACCAAGGAGAACAACGCCGCTGTCATCATTGAAGCTCTCCGTCGCGCCCGCTACAAGTTCCCCGGCCGCCAGAAGATCATCATTTCTAAGAAGTGGGGCTTTACCCAAGTCGCGAAGCAGGAGTATGAGAAGCTGAAGGAGAACAAGCAGGTGTTGCAGTACGTATCCATCAATCAATAGTAACCGGCGCCGGTTGCTGATGAATACTTGCAGGGACGGCGCATACGTCAAGTTCATCAAGCCGAAGGGGCCCCTCGAGGAGAACCTTCGCAACCAGCTCCGCGCTTGATCGACGTCTCGCTATATGAGCAACGCTTGTACCCTATACTTTGATTTGTCATAATGTCAGCATATTATGAGTCCGCGCTGACCATGTGAGTAAGTTCGTCGTTTTCGTTCTCGAAATCCCTCCGTCCTTCATTCCGGTGCTGGTCTCCCCCCTGCGTGCGATCAGCTTGTTTCCACCTTTTACTCGACGTGATGTATGTTCCGCATACGCATTCCTTCTCGCCCCTTATTCACTACGTTGTTCTTTCCCTATGGATAATGGTTAGGGGAAATGGGGCGTATATTGATTTTTCGAATGTACTCGATGATCTACTTTGTCTATATGGGTTGGTCGCCTTTGCTCAGATGATGGGCGAAGGAATGAATACAATGAATACACTTTTGCTCGCTCCTTTCGTATGATGGAAAGGGCCTTGGTTTCTGTTAGTAATGACCATCCATGGGAGACGTGATTATCATGTGGTGCGGAAGTTATTGATAATCAACTTACAACTGCGGCCAGCGGGATAGCCATATGTCTGTGCATGCAACCATATAAATACTGCAGTTTGTTACGGATTGCTGCTCATTCCCATCGACATCGCCTACTTTCTTCTTACCTTCCAATACTTCAACGCAATCCAATGTCTAGCAACGTACAAAAACCAGAATCCGAGTGGAGAGCAATCCTTTCTCCTGAGCAGGTGCATTGCGTAGGGTCGTGACAATTTCAGTTCCTGGCTGATGCCGAAATACAGTTTCGAGTTCTACGTCAAAAGGGCACCGAGAGACCAGACACTGGCGAATACAACAAGCATACGGCTCAAGGAATTTATACCTGTGCTGGGTGTGGTACGCCCCTGTATCAGAGCACGACCAAATTTGATGTGAGTACCAGCATGGTGATAGTGTTAGGATATAATCTGACTGCATATTCTAGAGCGGATGCGGTTGGCCGGCCTTCTTCGATGGTGTGTCTACGACCCTGCTGCATCGCATGGAGCAATGACGGACTCATTGAATGCATTTACAGCCATTCCTGGTGCTGTATCTCGACATGAGGATAGGTCTCTCGGAACCATCCGCACTGAAATTACCTGCACTGCGTGTGGCGGACATCTTGGACACGTCTTCAAAGGCGAAGGTTTCCCCACTCCAAGTACGCGTTAACCTTTCTACTCGCTGCTCGGGTAACTGACGATTAGTGCAGCGGATGAAAGACACTGCGTTAATTCTGTGTCGCTTAAGTTTGCCGATGAGTGATGCACGTATCGCCAACGCTGAATCGTGCCAACTCTTACTTGATGACGATGTTGGGCTACTATTTGTGAATTAATATACTATCACCGTTATCGAAGCCAAATCTAACGCATACGAATGATCATGATATAGTGAAGCTCTTACGTATGTAGATTCGTACTGGGTCCGAACTACAGGAGATATACAAGAATAATGCGAAGGGTAATAGGGAAGCATTAAAGGCTTTCCATGTTTTGGACAAGTTCGTCCAGCTCGGCCTTGGATTGGCGATACTTGGCATCCGCAGCCTACAGAAAGGATTGATCAACGATTGAGAGAAGTCCGCAACGATACCACGCACCTCGTATTTCTTCTCCCACTCATCACGTTCTCGTTCCAACCCTGTAATCTGGCGTTCGAAGTGTTCGGCCTTGACATCAACTTGTCGTAGCCTATCATAAACATGGTCATACTTCAGAGATCTATCGATTGCGAATCAGTCAAGCAGGCACTAACCTCTCTGTGGTCTCCTTCAAGTTCTTTTCGGCAGTATCCAGCTCCTCCTCCAGTAGTTGGACCTTACGAATGAGGCTTTCGCCCGTGTTCTTCATAGATTCACCCTCTTGCTGCGCAACTTTGGATTCCGCAACCTTAGCCTCCAACGTGTCCACATCTGCCTGCGCTATATTCAATTGATGGAGAAGGGATTTGTTTTCCTGCTCGCGCTCGAGTAGAAGCTGTTGAAGTTTCTTGTTTTCCGCCTCTGCCTTCTCGGCGCGTTCAACAGCAGCATCAACCTCGCCGCGAAGGGTGTGTAATTTCTGTTGGCCATCACATCAGTACAAGAGGCCCAGCGAATTGGAATCAATGTGATACATACTATTTTGATTTGTTCCATGATTCAAGCAGAAGGTTCAGATGAAGGCAAAGTGTGTCTTGGAAGGAACAGAGAACAGCCCCCATGAAGACTATTTAAGGCGAATCCATAATCACCCGTGGGAATATCATATATCCCCGCGCCGGTGCCGGTTTCAGTTTCAGAACGAATCTCCTGATACTCCTTCGAAGTAGTGAGCCCTAGCCACTGGTTGTCGCAGAAATGGCTGTCGCTCAAGAGGGTATGTCTCTGACTCATATGTTTCTCACTTCAATTCTCTCATCGAACTACACGATCGCAGAACTACCTATCCTTGAGGCACTCATAAAGTTCGTCATTCGCTAGGCTTAATCCATGGACTGTCACCAATGGACATATACAGCATTCGTAACCGCCTTACTGCCCTGAAGATGGACAGAGGCGAGTATATCAAACCATCGGATGTGAACTCGCTTTACCAAGCCGTGGTCAAGCAAGGTTCGTGTGATGTGTCCTTGAGGCCATATAAGACGCTCAGCTCCTCCATATACAGTGACAAAGCTGAACGATGTCCGAGACGACAACACTACATACAGCAATCGAGTAGACACTACTCTTGCAGACGTCTTCAGCCTTCTGTCGCTCTTCTTTCTTACCATTGGCAAAACTCGAGATGCGCCGGCAACTTACTCACAAATTGCGTCAATGAGAGTAAGGAATCCCACTTGTTAGTGCAATGCTCTTTTTGACACAACCTCTCCCAGCAAATACTCAACCACATGAATGAGTCGGGGGTTTACAACGAGGTAGACCTAGCGCCTTTCCAACGGAGGTTAAAGGATCTTCGTCAAATAGTACAGAGCGATGCGGAAGGAAGCAAGCACAACGAAGCTCTGACAAAGCTGCTAGAGCGTCAGCTCAACGAGTGTGGTCAGTTTAATATGTTTCTTCGCTATGCGCATGTCATTCATGCTGAATTCATCGCAGATAGCATTGTTAGGTCTCTCCAGGAATCACTATCAGTGCTTTCTCCAGAGCTGGCACCAATCCACCTAAAGTTGGTTCACATTCGTCGGCAACTAGCTGCTCTAGCCGCCAAAGAGGGGTCGCATAAGGCTGAGTTGAAGCCACTCCAGGAAGAACTCCGGAAAATTGATTCGTTGAGTGCCCGATCCGTTCCTTTGGCTTGCTGTCATGTTCACCGACAGAGTGTCTTTCTTTGTTTGAAACCGTTACCCAAAATTGCTCGACCCACCTTTACCCCCCGCACAATCCATTCTCGACGTCATCACTCTTCATTATACATCTCGAACAACATAGGAAACGCGTGGACGGGAAATTCCTCGGACCAGGAGGCGTTCTTCCTAGCTCTCAAGCCATATGCTCGTCTCTTCTGGAAGAATGCTTCGACGTTGCTCAGGAAATCAAAGCCCAAGAAGAATCGAAGAATGTCCCTTCATCGCTCAAGCCAATACATGATCGGCTTTCTGATATACGAACAGAACTCGAGAGCCTTGTCCTTACACACCGATGGACTCTGAGAGAGACTGACCTATGGAACTATTCGCTCAGTCTCCAAGAGATCGACAAAATGAGAGTCGAAGGCAAGTTTGTCGATTCAGAGGGTAATCGACCGTCGGGCCAATACGTAGGCCCACCAAATCTTCTTCGCAGCTGCATACATGCTTAGGATATTTTCAGGTTCTACTGTATATCTTAAGGCGCTGTTACGGCCTCATATACAGATTGCTATCATCGAGTGAGCCCGTGTCAGAGGAGCTTATGCCAATCGTAAGTACAACATCTCATCTTAATGATTGTATCTTATGCTATGAACAGGCCAACAAGTTGTCAACGGTCAAGAAATGTCTCAACGAGGTTCTCAAATATGGTGGACCATTCAACCCCCGCGATTTGTATCCGGTCAGTTTACCTTTCCCGTTTGTAAACACTCCTGACTGAACTCATAGCCATCGATTTCAGTATCAACTAGCCCTACATCAAATTGACTCGCTTCGACAAGATGGTAAATTCGTTGGCTCCGATGGATCAATCCCTGAAGGGCAGGGGATCGTCATGGCGCATCTGAATGAATGCCACGAACTACTTGAGATGGTGATGCTATTTCCCCCCTTGTCTCAGTGCCTGATACTGACTGGGATTTAGCTTAAAGAGTCTATGGACGAGGCTGAGGACGAATATTACGATGAAGATGACGACGACTATGCCGACACCGTGTCGTCTGAGAACTAAATCAAGCATATTTCAAATGACCAACTTACCATGGGTATACAGATGTGCTTTGTATGACGTGTTGTAGTGTAAACAATACTATTTAATCCATGTTACCACAGCTTTCGGCGTCTGTGTTCGTCCGTGTCTCGAGGGTGGAAGAGTTCCGAGGACAAGTACAAGGGTATTCGCTGCAGTCAAGTTGGGTATCAACTGAAACAAATTTGCCAGTTGATATCATTTCTGTTAGCCTGTAATGAGTTGGACATTTCCAAGGAGGTTGCGAAGCAAGTTTGAACGTAGTTGTACTGAGTTCGATGCTCCTGCTTCCATTCTCCTTCAAGCTGCATTTGGGCCAATACCGCAGCCATCGGTCATGGCCAAAAACCAGGAGACAATGTGCAAAGCAAACAAGGCTGCATCGGTTGAGGCCCTTCGATAACTCCATACGATCTTCATGGTTAAAGTCGCCTTGGCAAATTGCTGTTCATTGACCACCATGGCCATCGGGAGCTCAACAGCATTCGGGGCCCTTTCAACCGCCTTGGCCACACAATGTGGGCGGTGGGGACAATCATCCGTTCAGTCAAGCTAACTTAGCCTCTAACCGATCATGCAGGCCACTGCCTTCTTCATGACACAGCATAGTACTATTCTATATAAGCTGTCAACCAACCCGGGTTTGCCAGCTAGATCACTCTGACAACACATTCCTCGATACATACTACAGTCATGGCGATAATTTCCCCACCCCAAACCTCTGTGCAGGCTGCTTCTATCATTGAACAGGACTGTCAGTGGCTCGTCTGTGTAACAGATCTACCAGAAGAAGCGGGATCAAAATCTGTAAGTCTCGATTCAACATACCCACATAGACTGCACACCCTTATATGTCTGTATACAGAACGCTAGGAAGGCGACCACTTCCTCTGGAGACACAGTTCGTGTCAAGCGAGTGGCATTCTCGTCGAAGTCCCAACGGAGACGACAAGTCAAGGTGTGCAGATCAATCTCTTACGTATTGCTCTCTTACAATGCGCTAACCACTCCTGCAGGAATTTGCCCAACGCCTGAATGAATGGCACGCAATAACAAGCCGAGAACTGCTCCTTCCTATATTAGCATTCGGGGTTGACGAATCTCCTGCCGCAATTTCCCTCGTTTCCCCCTGGATAGGACGAGGGCAAACTATCACAGAATATATAAAGGAAAACCCAACACTCGATAGGCTTTCCTCAGTGCGTCTTCCCTGAATCATCATCTGGCATCCTTGGGTATTCACACTTCACAAACAGGCATGCGAACTTGCCGAAGCCGTCAGGTATCTGCACGACACCAAGAAAGGTTGGAACACGCCCGCCTTCGTGCATGGTGACATAAGAGGGGTGAGTGCACCCTACCAGTAGCTGTAATCTCTATCTAATGAAAACACTCTTTGCTATTCAGGACAATGTCTTCGTCCGACCAGGAGGTTCTTGCTATCTCGGAGAGTTTGCCTTGACATGTGCCGAACCGGTTCAGGAGGACCCAAGCATGCCAGCTACCTTCCGCCACTCCCGCTGGATGGCTCCCGAGCGTTTGAACCCTAAGGCCTTCTCCTCGTATCCTACTGATGATGGTTCCTACGCCGATGGCAAACTCAGGACATGTAACGATATCTATTCTCTAGCTAGCACCATATTTGAGGTTCGTGAATTCGTATACCATGCTCTCACAAAGCAGTAACTGATCTCGACCTCAGATACTCACTGGAGACGTTCCGTATTACCAGTATCACCACGACGCGTTCGTCACGGCCGACGCCCTACGTGGAGTTCTTCCCGAGCCTCAGGATCTGGACAAAGCCCGCTTGTCTGGCCTCACTGACGACATCCAAACACTACTCAATTGCATGTGGAGATATTCACCATCTGAACGCTTCCACGCAGAGACCGTCTGCAGAGTACTCAAGACCCCTTCTTCAGTGAACAAAAGACGACCGCAGAGGCTCGCTCCCGTGTTTGCTGCTACAGCAGCTGCAGCCGCTCGTAGACTATATCTCTAAATTATACCATTACCATAGCCTGGACTTTTTATACTATCTATCATCGGGAACCTTACGTCAGTACTTCAACATACATAGTTTCATGATCATCTCATTCTCCATGCAAGTAAATTATCAAAATTTCATCCGGTTGCAGGAATATAAGTAATAATGTATTCCCATTTTTGCTGAAGAGTTAGTCTACTAAGGAGGGAACTCTATATCCTATGATGTAAACGAAGAGACGTGGTCCTCAACGACCTTCTTGATCTTCGCCTCCATCTCGGGTGTAACGTTACCGCCAGCAATCTCCTCCAATAAAGGACCCTGGGTGGCAGTCAAGTGTCCACGGAATTCAGCTTCCCACTTGGTGATTTGCTCAACGGGGATGGAATCGAGGAGACCGTTGACACCGGCGTAGATGATGGGGACCTGGATCTCAGTGGCCAATGGTTGATATTGACCTTGCTCTGTAAATCGACAATGAGTACGTGATTACGTGTAGACACAGGAACGTGACGTACTGAGGAGTTCCGTTAGACGAGCACCACGGGAGAGGAGGAAACGAGTTGAAGCATCGAGATCAGAGCCGAACTGAGCGAAAGCGGCGACTTCACGGTATTGGGCGAGGTAAAGCTTGAGCGAACCAGCAAACTTCTTCATGATCTTGCTGCGAGGGCGTCAAATACATGCATACGAGAATAAGGAATAGTTCTTACGTCTGAGCGGCTGAGCCGACACGGGAGACGGAGAGACCAACGTTGATAGCGGGACGGATACCACGGAAGAAGAGTTCAGCCTCCAAGAAGATTTGACCATCGGTAATCGAAATGACCTAGACAACATAGTCAGCATTATTTCATGGAGGAATATGGAAAGACGACGCACGTTAGTGGGAATGTAAGCAGATACATCACCGCCCTGAGTCTCGATGATGGGTAGCGCAGTCAATGATCCTCCACCGAACTTGTCGCTCATCTTGGCAGCACGCTCCAAGAGACGGGAGTGCAAGTAGAAGACATCACCAGGGTAGGCCTCACGACCGGGGGGACGACGGAGAAGGAGGGACATTTGACGGTAAGCTACGGCCTGCTTCGACAAATCATCGTAGATGATGAGAGCTAGAAGGACTTAAGAACCTACGCACACATTAAAAGGAGAAAACATAACTAACCGTGCTTGCCATTGTCACGGAACCATTCGCCCATAGCACAACCAGAGAAGGGAGCGAGGTATTGGAGAGGAGCGGCCTCTGAGGCAGTGGCAGCGACAATGATGGTGTACTTCATGGCATCGTTCTCTTCAAGGGTCTTGACGAGTTGAGCGACAGTAGAACGCTTCTGGCCAATGGCAACGTAGACACAGTAGAGCTTCTTGGTCTCGTCCTGTCCGTCGTTCCATCGCTTTTGGTTGAGGATAGTGTCAATAGCGACGGCGGTCTTTCCGGTTTGACGGTCACCGATGATAAGCTCACGCTGGCCGCGACCAATGGGCACCATGGCGTCGATGGGCTTCAGACCGGTCATCATAGGCTGGTTGACGGAGCGACGCGGGAGAATACCGGGGGCCTTGACGGAGGCACGGCGACGCTCAGCAGCCTCAATGGGACCCTTGCCGTCAATGGGGTTTCCGAGTGCGTCAACGACACGTCCCAAAAGGTTGGGACCGACAGGTACGTCGACAATTTGGCCGGTACGCTTGACAGTGTCGCCCTCCTTGATGAGACGATCGTTACCGAAAATGGAGACACCGACGTTGTCGGTTTCCAAGTTCAGACACATGCCGCGGACACCAGATGAAAATTCCACCATCTCGTCGGCTGAAATGGGGGCCCTCAAAGTCAGCACGTAAGACCCCGGGCGCAAACACGTCCGTCATACCTTGGACGTTCTTCAAACCCCAGACACGGCCAATACCGTCACCAACGCCTAAAGCACATTAAGCACGCCATCTAACAAGAAGAAAAGCATATATATACGTACTCAGAACACGGCCAGTTTCCTCGACGTTTCCGCCAACGGCTGTACCCGAAATGCGGGATTCAAGGATGGAGGAGACCTCGGATGCAGCTACAAGACAAAGACGCGTCGCGCAAGGCACTGTGAGCGACATTCAAATTACTACGCTGTTCCGGGACCTACCAGGCTTTGCGGTAGCATAGTTGCGTGCAGCGACCTAGAACTCGTTCGTGAGCAACGATGCCGCTGAAACATACTGCACAAAACCTACCTGTGATGGTGAGGCAGCTAGCCGTGTGCGCACGGCGTTTCTGAGAGCGATTCTGTGCATCCTTGTCAAAAGGGAAGGCGGGAAGATAGAAGAGAGCGGTGAAGGGCTTTTTGAACTTTTGACGATGTGACTTTTCGGCGTTAGGAAAGACTCGGAGCCCAGTACAAACTTTCAAGCGCCGACTGAACTTGGTTCTCACAACCTCGCGCGCGCGCTTCATGTTCTCGCCATGACTTCAAATTTATTCAGGCTAGGTGAGCAGTTCAGCGTAAAAGAGCACGCTGCATGTTGTACTGACTCCGTTTAGCCAGCTCGGTGTGCAATGTTGCGAGCAGGGCTATGCACATGCAGGCAGCCCAGCCGGGGAGTGTGACCTCGGCGCTGCAGCTCGTCAAATCACAGCCCTCACAGTACGTCGTCGCGTCGCTGGCTGGGCGAAAATACCTGCTTGCTCCCCGTGACGTCCTCACGGTGCCCCGGATGCGGGATGTAAAGGTCGGCGACGTCCTCACACTCAATGAAGTCCACGAGCTCGGCTCGCGAGAGTACACTATTCGTGGCAACCCAGTCATACCGCCATCTCGCGTTAAGGTCGAAGCCACCGTCATCGAGCACACCAAGGGGAAGATGGAGTACATCTTCAAGAAGAAAAGAAGAAAGGGCTACCAAAAAACCATTACACACAAGCAACCGTATACGCGCATACGAATTGGGTCCATTGACATCCCGGCCGTCGAAGCATCTTCATAGCCTTTTTTGTTGCCCATCGTTCGTTCGTGAATACCATTGCTGTCTTTCTGTTTTATCGCTGCGTGAAAACGACATCTCATAGGTACATTCAAAGAATTATGCTCAACCATAGAATGAGACTATTTTCTCTGAACCGACGATACAGGCCCTCCAGGCTAGGATGAGCTCACATGCGGCATGATTTGGGTCACGTAATGGCACAGGACACCGGACAACTCAAGCGACTCAGCCCTCTCCTGTCGTCGGATTGGACTTCTGATCCATATACATGGTCACTGCAGTCGTCGAAACATCTTCATATGCCTGCACAGGCCTCATTATCCCTGCCGCTCGTGCCTGTGAATATCTTTGGTGTTTCTCTCTTCTCTCTTTCCTCTGCGTGAAAACCCCATCTCACAGACTTGTTCAGCCATAGGATTTTACGAGTAAAACCTAAAAGTGAAACAATAGGCCACATATTCTCCATTTTCAATTACGCGAGGAACAGCAAGAACATGACCCGTTAACGTTTCATTTGCGCCTTCGTGTCCTTCATGGCCTTCCTTGCTCCCGTCACTCGTCAACGACATCGCTCTCTGGTTATCATTCTACTACTCGAAAACCATATCTCATCCATCCAAACCTCTCAGCAACGACCCCCATGCCCATGTGCACCAACGGAATGACGTTATAAAGCTTGTAGTAACATACGCGCTATCAATCTGATGCCACGACGAACAAACCAGACTCATGAGTCCAGCCATACCCCGTTATCATGTACCAACATTGAATATTGACCCACGACAGCGCAGAACGTTTCCCCCTCCCCCCTCTTCTTTGTCTACGCGACCCGACACACATACACACTCTCTTTTAGCCGCTGCGAACGGCTTCCGATCCAGCATCCAAGTCCATGAGCGTTCCAGCCGCTGAGACACCTTCACAGAGTTCATCGCAGTTATTACACATCGTTCGTTCTGCGTATCGTCGTCTTTTCTGCACCTTGGTTTCCCTACTGCACCCCAGTCGAAACCACGCCCTATACTGTACCTTCAAATCAAATCAAATAACCTTGTCCAAACCTGGTACTGATACATACTGAGATAACGCGTGAAACGATGCCGAATAGCAGAGACCTTCGCAAATCTCCTCTTCCTGCTCCAAAAACTCTGCCTCATGTCCATGGTGCGACGCCCACGAGCGTCGTATCCGTTGGGCGTCATATCTGCATACCTGATTTGTATTTCTTGCCTCCACTGCAATCAGTACACGGGGACTACCTACCTCATCCTGTAGTCTCACATCCCACATACCTAATACTTATCCACTCAACCAATCTCATCCACTCATCAGACAACACACACAACAAAGCAACGAGCAACGAGCAACGGTCTCAATCTCAAATTTAAGACTAGGCACTAAGCATATACATCTCGAAACGCCAACAACATCACGGCAATTTTAACGGGTATCGGTATCTCTGCACCACGAACATAGAACAGTAGAACATCAGAACATCGACGGACACCTCAACCACCCCAAAGCACCTCAAGCAGCTCGAGCACCTCGAATACCTCAGACCTCAGATCTCCCCCTCCTCAGGCGACTCGGCCCTCTCCACCACCGCGGCCGGCTTCTCGTCGACCTCCATCGCATTCGCATTCGCATTAGCGCTCGCATTAGCCTCATCCGGTTTATCGTCGTATCGGACTCTCTGCAACACAAACACACAGCATACCCATCAGTAAACTGTCGAATCCATGCCCTGAGTATCAAGAACACGAGAAAACGCACCTTCTCCGCCCTCTCGTCCCCCATATGGTCGTCCCCGTCCCTCTTCTCTTTATGTTCGTCCCTATGGTACGACACGCTCCGCTCCCGCTCCCTCTCCCGCCCCTCCCTCCCGTCTCTCCCCTCGCGCCCCTTCCCCATACTCACAGGGCTCGCGTCCCACTCCCTCTCCCTCGTCCTCGACGACTTCCTCTTCCTCCCGTCCCTCCCGTCCCTCTCATCCTTCTCATCCCGATCACGATAATGCGCCCCATGCTTCGAGCGGTACCCCTCCCTCTCCTTCCGATCCGCATCCTTCTCCCTCTCGCCGTCGCGCTCGCGCTCGCGGGGATACTCCCTCTCCCGCCCATAGTCCCGCGACGCCCGGTGCCCCTCAAACTCGTCGTACCGATGATGCCGCCCCCCGCGCTCCCGCTCTTTTCCTCCCTCCCGCCCCCCGTCTCTTCCCCCCTCCCTCTCCCTCTCTCTTCCCCCGTCCCTATCTCTCTCCCGTTCTCTGTCGCCGCCTTTGTCCCACTCCCTATCCCTCTCTCGTTCCCTCCCTCCATCACGCTCGCGTTCGCGGTCGCCCTCTCGTTCGGCGCGATCACCACGATCACCGCGCTCGCGGTGCGGCTCCTTCCGCTTCCGACTGGTCGTCGATGCCCCATCGTCCGAGGCTTCCCGGAGGCGTTCCTACAAAAAACGAAAACGGAAACAAAAACACGTAAGTATTGATAATTCATTGCACGGGTACACATTGATAATGACAACGCATAACGAGAAAGTCGATCGATTTTCGATAGAAGACAAGGAAGGAGGGTTGGCACTGGATGGGACGGCAGGGAGCGGCTCCCTTGCGTATGGCACGCACGCATCGAACACACTGAACGCTTGCCACAGAAAAGAAATCCCCCCAACAATCAAAGAAAAGAACACCTCACCTTCTGCCGCTTCACGAACTTCGCAAACGCCGCGCGGCGGCTCTCCTCGTCCTCGATCGCCTTGTACTCGGGCAGGTTCTCGATCAGCGGGACGACCTAAAACAAAATATTGTCAGCATACACGTCCGTTTCGTCATAGGAAATCGAAGGGCGAAGGGGTACACCCATGCGCACGAAGGAAAACACCACGACAACGCATCCTCGCAGGAGTTTGGAAAATATTCACAATGTTCGTGCAGCGGGGAAAGAAAGGGCGGAGAACAAGAAACAAAACAAAACGCAACGCATAACGATAAGAATGATAAAACTCCTTATAACAAGGACAAAGCTTCAAATCAACGCATTGAACGCACCTCCTCGTAGCTCATGCCCACATCGACGCCGCCGGGGAGCTTCTTCAGCGCGTAGCGCAGGTCGTCCTGCAGGTGGCGCTGCCTCCTTTCCGCGCGCCGCTTCTCGTCCGCCTGGCGCTTCAGGGCCTGCTCGTGCAGCTGCATCCACCCACATACAAATATACCCAATGCGTATCCACGTCAATGATGCCCACATAAAATAAAACAAAACACATGGTCAGTAACAGCGTATGATGAAGGGAGAGAGAGAGAGATGCAGGAAGGAGAAACACTCACAGTCTCCCAAATCAGGCGCAGATCGTCCTCGCCCATCTCTTTCAGCTCTTTCAACGCCTTCACCAAACCTTTCTCCTCGCCCACACCCTCTTCATTGTTATCCTCGTTCATGCCCTCAGCGCGAGGTGCGGGATCAACCTGGGATTGAGTAGCAGCCTGAGCCTCCGCCCACGCCTGCGCCTCGGCGACGACGCGCCTGAACTCCTCCTCCGTCGTGTCGGGCGTCACGAACGGCTTTGCCTCCTTTGCCTCCTCCCCCTCCTTTTTCTCCCCCTCCTTCCCCTCCTCCGCATCCATAGTATCCCCTTCAGCACCCCTTTTCAGGTACGCCCCCACGACCCCCTCCACGACCCCCATCCTTTCATCCAGCGCCACATCCAGGCGGTCCACCGCGTCCCAGAACAGCTCGAGCGGGTTCGACCCAGGCGTCCCCAGCAGCGCCGCGTACCGCGGATCGTCGCGGAAGCGTGGGTACACCGCCTTCCACTTTGTGCGCGCGCGGATGTGCCCCGCGGCGGTGAGCTCGGCGAGGAGGGCCTGCAACCGCACCAAACGAGCAAGTGAGTAAAAACCACCACGGATGAAAAAGCAGAAGCAGGAACACGCACCCGGAACCCCTCCCGCGCCTTCCGCTCCCTGCGCGCCTTCTCGACCTGCCTCCGCCTCTCCGTCTCCTCGTACTCGCGCTCCCTGACGCGGCTGTAGTCCTCGAACGCCAGCAGGACGTCGAGCGTCGGCAACGCCTGCAGCTCCGCGTCGTCCGCCCACTCGCGGGAGGCGGCGAGGAGCGCGTGTGCGTGGCGCCAGCGCGTGACGACGTCGACGCCGAGCTGCTTGAAGAGCGTGACGACCTTGGCGATGCCCCGGGAGCGCGCGGCGCGGGCTTCTTGCTGTGCACACCAGATAAAACAACCCGTCAACCATCACATCCCATGACACTACAAGAGGAAACAGTGACGCACCACCTCGCGCTGCTTGAGCTCTGCGACGTACTCCTCGAAGACGAGGCGGCGCTCGGCCTCGACGCGGGCCTGCTGCCAGATGGGGTGCTGGGCGAAGAGGCGGTCGGCGGTGGCGAAGGTGGTGTAGTGGAAGACGTTCGGGTTGCCCTTGAGCATGTTGCGGAGGGCGGGGCGCAGCTTGGCGAGGCGGGCCTCGCGCTCCTCGTGCTCCTTTGCTTTGAGGCCTTCGGTGTACTACACGTATATATCAGTATAATTGTGATAGGAGAGGGAGCGAGGGAATAAGTAAATGAAAGAGTACCTTCTGCCAGCACGCCTTCCTTTCTGCGAGGGTATTAAGGGCCTTGTAGAGCGGATCAGTAATAATGGCGCGCATCGTCTGGTCCCAGGTCCAGCCGGCGTCGACGCCGCCCTTGCGCAGCAGGTGGGTGAAAGCCTTTTCCCCTTCCTCGACGGTGGCGAAGCCGTTGTGGGGGATGACGGGGTCGTCGGGGAGGTTTGGGCGCGCGGGGAGGATGCTGGCGGAGGCGAAGGGGAGGCCGCCTGTGTGTGGGCCGACTGCGGTCTCGGTGCCGTTGGGCTGGTCGGGGGCGGGGTCTTCTGGGGCGGTGATGCGGGCGGGGCTGGAAGCGCAGACACAAGTGATGAGTGAGAGAGAGTGGTGAGATATGAGAAGAGAGGGAACGCACGCGTTGGTGGCAGCAGCGGGGCTAGGCTTGCCCTCTTTCTCTACCTTTTCGAGGAGGAGCAGCAGCTCGTCTGGCATGTCCCATTTGGACTCTTTGCTCTCGGTCTAGCAGCGGATTCGTTTGTTAAAACATCGATCGGGGGTGTATGGTACGCACGTTGTAGTAGTATTTGCGGCCGCCAGAGAAGTATTCCTTCCATTTTGTTTCGTTGAGTGCGCGCTGGAAGAGGACAAGGGGGTGAGAGGGAGTGTTTGGAGGGACGGAGGGGAGGGAGTACCTCGAAGGGGGTCTTGAGGTCGTCTGGCTTTTCCCAGACACTCTCGCGTGTCGTTGTGTTGAACCAGTAGGTCCTCCCTTCCGGGTTCCTGTGCTCAGTCTCCACAACAATCAGCGACGGCGACACCCCAACGCAGGCCAAGCTCACCCAGACGGTCATCGAAGAGACTCGATGGACGATGACACAAACAAAGCGCCGTTTATTTGATCGCTCAGGGGCTTTCTCTCTCTCTCTCTCTCTTTTGACGATGGCCCCCACGCGTTTCGAGCCGTCGTCGATCCGCAACAAGATCAAACGCGAGGAGATCGCTCGCAAGTCCAAGCGCTCCAAAAACCAGGAAAAGCTCAAACGCCGCCTCGCACAGGCAAAGGAAGAGGCAAACGATCCTGCCGCCAAAAAGGTGCGCACAACCACCCCTCCCCACTCCAACTAACTCATCGCACGCATCGCACAGAAACGCCTCGCCGAAAATGTGCCCCGCACCCTCGACAACACCCGCGAATTCGACCCCTCCATCCTGACCGCAGATCCCTCCCTTCCCTCCACATCCACCACATCCGCCCACGACGAGGCCGCTGCAGACATCGCCGCAGACCCCTTCGCCGACTACTTCTCCTCCCCCGCAGACCCCGCCACGCCCCCCAAGGTCCTCATCACCACCTCCCCCACCGCCTCCAAGCGCACCTACGCCTTCGCAGACGAGCTCGTCGGCGTCTTCCCTGGCGCACACTTTGTCCGCCGCAAGAAAGGCAAGGGCTTCGAGCTCGGTCGCATCGCAGGCTGGGCTGCAGACCGCGGCTACAAGCACCTCTGCGTCATCAACGAGGATATGAAGAAACCCAGTGCGTGCTCCGTAATCTACATCGTATATTCGCGCGTGTCTGACATTCTGATAGACGCGATAACACTCGTACACCTCCCGCACGGGCCCACCGCCTACTTCAAGCTCACATCCATCCAGCTCACCCGCGAAATATTCGCAAGTCTCCCCTCCCCCCTCTCACTCACCCGTACTCACTCGTTTTACTCGTCTAGGGCCATGGTCGCGCCACACCACACCACCCCGAGCTCATCCTCTCCGGCCTCGCCACGCGCCTCGGCCACGCCGTCGGCCGCCTCTTCCAGACCCTCTTCCCCCCGCTCCCCGAGTTCCGCGGCCGCCAGGTCGCCACCCTTCACAACCAGCGCGACTTCCTCTTCTTCCGGCGCCATCGGTGCGTCTCCCCCCTTCTCTCTCCCCTTCTCCTTCCCATTCCCTTCTTTATTCTCCTTTATTCTTTATTCTCCTTCTCCCTTACTAATACACATACACGTCTTAGCTACGCATTCCGCACGACAGAAAAAGTCGCCCTGCAGGAGATCGGCCCGCGCTTCACGCTCAAGCTGCGCTCCCTCCGGCGCGATATCCCCGCCGTGACGCGGTTCGGGGACGCGCCGCGCGAGATGGGGTTTGATGTTGGTGTCGATGAGGGAGGGGAGGGGGAGGGAGATGCACTTGGAACGACCTTGGATGAGGAGGCAGTAGATCAGGAGGAAGTAGGGGATGAAGCCGCACAAGGCATACAAAATGACGAGCCCATGAACGAGATGGATGACATCGACACGGAGGACAAATCCAGTAATGAAAACGGAGGCGCGGACAAGAAGCAGAAGCAGAAGGTCCCCCCGAAACAGGACGAGTTCCTCTGGCAGTGGAAGGTGCGTCTCCCTCTCCCCTTTTCCTTCCCCCCTTCTTCCTGCCCCTTCTTTTCCCATCTCCCCCATTTTCCATCCTTTCCTCATTATCCATCTTCCTGCGTTTCCCCCCATGTCCCTTTCCCTTCTCCTTCTCCCTCCCCATCTACTCCCCATCTCATATTCATCCACCCACCTTCACCACCCATCCACCCACCCATCACCATACATCCATTCACCCATCCATCCTATTTTCTAATTCTACCTTCGATTCAATTCCAATAATGGCGATGGCGACACTAACGCAACGATGTCTGTTGTAGCCCGAGCTCGAGACGACGCGGCGCACCTTCTTCCTCTAACCCCTCATCCTGCAATCCTGCGTTCCCGCGATCCTGCGGCCATCCTACCACCCCTCTCCCCCCTTCCCATATGTAAAAAAAGTATACGCAGCGTATATCCAATCGTATGTCCCGCCGTGTATACAGACAGGTGCACAGGTGTACCCGCGTACCCGTACTCGTGCGCATAGATTGCAGGATCATTCGTTCATTCGTTCCGTCATAAATGTGTGTGATACATGTGTTCTCGTACGTTGGATTTAGTGTTCGAAATCTGTGTACATGACACTGACCCACAGGTCTGAGCTGAGTCTAGGTTGAGTCTGACTCAACTCTGACTGAACTCTGAGAGTCTGAGTAGAGTCTAATAGAGTCTGTATGAGTCTGACTGGACTCTGACTGGACTCTGGGACTCTGACTACACTCCGAGCGGAGTCTATCTGAGTTGAGTGAGAGTCCACTCAGACTACGGTTGGACTCCACTCATCCAGAGTCAGTTTAGACTCTATCTAGATTGAACCCAAAACTCTATCAAGAATTCAGATAAATTACACTTGTCCTGAATGACTCTGTGTGTTAATTCACAATCAAATAGTTCAATAAGTCATGTATGAAGTGGTGATTTGAAGTTCTGGTAAATTATTAAACAATTTAAATGCTACTCAGAGTAGTACACTAAATAGACGCAGATTGGATTAGTGGGAGTAAGTTATATAAACTCAATCTTATAATCTGATAATATTATGCACCTATTCCAAAGAACACTGAGACTCAGATAGACTCAGATAAGAGTCATTACAAATGCAATTGAACTTGTGATTTGAACAATAGGAATCTACTAATGTACACATGCTTCAGAAGAGAGTCACAGTTGTGTAATGACCTCTAACTTACTCTATAGAAAAAAAAAATAACAATATCTGTGATTGATTTGATATTAGAAGGCTCCATTGCCGAGTAATATGAGAATCAAAATCAGTATAAATTCAACTCAGACTCTTAGCCCAACTTGCCAAGATTGCCACATTTTATATGGCTGAACTCTGACCTGGCTCTCACTAGACTATGGTTAGACTCCAGCTCCACTCCAGCTCCACTCTGAGTAACTCTGGTAGCTTAAACCTATCAGAGTGAACCTGGATTTGGATGGAGTCCAACTTGAGTGCAGTCTGAGTCTGGATCAACTCTGAAACTCCAGGTAGAGTCTATATAGAGTCCATTCCACTCCAGATGGTTTTGGCCTGTGAAACATGTCAACTCTGACCTGACTCTGACCTGACTCTGACTTGACTCTCATCTGAGTCCAGAACTCTGACTGGACTCCAACTGGAGTCCATCCTTAACCTGTGGGTCAGTGTCATGTTCTCCGAAATCTAAGAACGCGAGCGGCAAAGGTTGTAATGGATACCAAGTCGGAACCTAAGCGACTCCCCCAACCTAACCTTACCTCCTGCACCCTTACCCTTACGCCCACCTATACACTCAGCACACGTCTTATTTCGCCCCATTGGTCGAACTAATCAAACTTTTGAACTTGAGCTATAGAACGGACTGTTACGGACAGCAGCATCATCGACGTTTTCTATATCCTGAACGGGCTGCCGCACCACCCGACAACGGGCTCACTACTTAAGACTACTACTACTTATAGGTGCACGCACTACGTACAGGTCGTGGTCAGATCAGGACTCACTACCCTTGAGTATCACCATCACCATTGTATTACCACTATCTCACCAGCTGCAGTGTGCGCGAACGCGCGTGCGAGTTCTAGTCGTGATCGTTTCCTATTCCTTGACATCCTGCAGCATTCGCACTCGTACGCATCGTACCCGGGGGCCTGGGGAGTCACCAGATACACATCACCGCGTCGTACCAGTGTACCACCGCGAAATACGCGAAATACGCGAAGAATCTGCTTCTCCTCCTTTCCTCCTTTCCTCCTCTCCTCTTCTCCCCTTCTCCACCGTCCACCATCCACCATCCGTTCAATATCCAATATCCAATATTCAGGCCTTAGGCCCCAGGACTCAACGATTCGACGGCTCAGCGGGGCGGCGCCTAAGCGCATGCCGTCAACACTGCACAAACGCATCGAACCGTCTCACCGCCGCCAACACGACGACGACGACGACACAACGCAACACAACGACGCGATAATAACGACGATACCTGGTCCGAGTCTGAGTCCTTGCTCCTTACGCTAGCCTTCCTCCTTCCTCCTCCCCGCTCCCCACGCCCCACTTCATACTCCTTCATACTTCCTACTTCCTACCGCCCACTTCCTACTCTCCATGCCCTACTTCCTTTCCCTCCTCCACATCCACATCCGCATTCGCTGTTCGTGCAGCGTCCAGAGTTCAGCGTCCAGAGCCCAGACTGCCGGCGGCGCATGCGCATGCGCACGTCCACGCCCGTGCTTGCGCGTAGCCCTTCATACTCCACACCGCTCCCAAACTAACAAATAACAAATAACCAAAATCATTATTAAAACCGGACAGCACACCACTTTTGGTCAGCCGCTAGCGCGTCGGTGGGTCGGATGCATCCCCGTATCGCAGTGCGCCGCATTCATTCACTCCTGCTATATTATATATGATACCACAATTACGCTGCGCGATTTTAGTTGCTGCAAATCCATCCATCTCAGATGATCCCAGGTCTTCGAGCTCCTGCCGGTCTGGCGGGCGGCGCACTCAGCACTCATCAAACTCACCCACGCGGTTGATCCTGCGTTCACCAACTGCCAGTGTATCTTTACTCCCTTTCCCCCTTTCCCCCTCCCCCTTTCTCAACAACTGCACTTCAACACTGGAGACCCGGCACACAAAATTCTGCGATGATACTATAGCAGTGAGCGCAGCCCTATCCTATCTACCCAGACCCAGAAATGGGGAAGCGATGCAAATTCTTCCATGGTCTGTATAGATATGCAGGACGGAAGAACAAAGAACAAAGAACGAGTTATGTGCGTGCAAGAGCCAAGCCATCTACATCTAAACGAACGATTGCATACGACATGCACTATCATCGCGATGCATCTGTGCGTCGTAGAGCGAACTCCAACATAGGAACTCGTAGACCACCAGTGAGCATACGTTCGGCCAGTGTATTCTATGTATTCACGATCTATCATCTAGCATCCCTTTTTATTAAATCGTTGTGCAACATAACGAGTCTGTGTGCACCGTGGTACCACAGGACCACACCCGTGCAACGCCCGCGACTACCAACCTGTATCAACATACATGCATATACGCATACGGGAACCACAAGCAATCTCCGTCTGTCTCCTTATCATTGCGCATGTTGAACTGTTGTACTGTCGTACGTCCGTGATGCGTGGTGGGATGGAAGTATTTAGCACCCTCAGAGCTGCGACGGCCGCGGGATCTTACGATTAGATTTAGACGGTCCAAAGGCCTATAGTAAGGTTGGAAGTTACATGCCTATACAACAAAGGCCACCTCAATGGCAAAGGCGCATCGAAACGTCAACGCTTGAGTTGTGCGAATTCCAATGTTGTACGATTCTAAAAGTTAATCGGTAAATGAAGAGGATGGAGGGAACGGTCACCTGTCCCCAGTGATGTAGGTAAACGTGTACGGAAGAAAAAGAACGGGAGACCAAAGATAAGATAAGAAGAGTAAAGGAATAAAGGAATAAGGGAATCGAAGGAATGGTAAGTAGATATTTGACTGTCAAGTTCTGGATCGTGTCTGTCTAACGGGTCCCAAGGTGCAACCCCGTGAGCATCAGGACTCAGTATTCGGCATGCGTAGTACGGTATGGGGATCAAATATCACTCGCATTGCGCAATCTCCGTTGGTCCCGTGGCTTCCTCATTATCATAGCGAATTGTGTGTATTCACTGTTCAGTCATGGGCATGCACGAGACACGGCGAATTGAACTCAGCATTAGTGATAAATCGCAGTCTTGTCAAATTCAAAGTCTTGCACGTCCATGTTGGAGAGCGTACCGAGCTGAACCTAAGGACCATTCGATTTACTATACTGTGCGCCGATTCAAGAAACGAGATGACTCGGGTCGTACCAAGTGCAAATTCTGGCGTTCTGACGTTCTGGCATTCCAATGGATGAGAATTGCACGAGGAGGTATATACTTGGATCTGACGCCGAGTAAACAGAAGAACAGGAAAAGAGAATTCAAGATAAGAAAGGCAAGCTGAGGCGTAAACGTCCTGTACGCAAGATCTGACCGAAGTCATCTAAATCATGGCTCTGTCTGGTGTCCAATAAATGGGTCTCAAGGTCTAAGCTCGTGAGCATCAATTATGGGGGATCTCAAGCAATCTCCGTACTGAAGCTTGAGGGTCCCATGGCTTCGTCGTTATCATCGCTTTCATGTTCAGCTATGTGCACGAGACACGGGGAAGTGAATTGAACTCAGCGTTAGTAGTGGAAGTGGAAATCGTAGTCTCGTGCGTGCGTGATGGAAGACGTACCGAGCTTGGACGCTTAGCAGGATCTTGGCCGACGTACATCTACCCATCCCCCCACCTTGAAGCTGAAGGGTTCAAGGATAGAAGCTAGAGACCATTACAAGGGCAAAGGTTCATCGGCGCTGGGACAAGTCTAACTGTGTACTAAGTGCGAATTCTAAGGTTCTAACGCTCCAGAAGATGATTAAATGATGAGGTAGAAGGTGCAATCTGCTGCAATCTGCGATGGCGGAAGGTATAGATATAGACGTATATGAAAGAGAAGAACAGGAAAAGGTAAGGAGATGAGATAAGAAGAGTAAAGGGTAGAGGTGACCGTCCTGTATTCAGTCAAGTAAGATCCGTCTTCTAAATCGTGTCTCGTGTCTGTCTATCGTGTCTGCCTAGCGGGTCCCGAGGTCCAACCCCATGAGTACCCGTGAGTATCGCCAGTATTACTTGAGTCTTGAGTGGCCTGGGCATGGACTATGGAGGATCATGCGCAATCTCCGCCCTTATCATCATCGTCGCGTTTAGCTGCACGAGACACGTTCAAGTCAGCGTTAGTGGAAGTGTGAGAGGACGTGCACGATGGAAGCACTCACCAAGCCGGAACGGTCAAAGGGATCCTGACCGATGTCTGTACACATTCACATTCGAAGTTAAGACCATTCCAATCAATTGCACAGTTGTTATCACATACCGCTAGTCCCTGAAACAGAAGACCGACAATTAGCGTCCATCCATACAGACATTCAAGTCAAATCGGAGATGTGGCAACTGGTAAGCACGGGAAAAGCTCCCCATAGCACGAAAGGTAATGATACCCGTTCCCCAGAGCCATGGTCGTACTCCAAGCGAAACGAATCTAGAGTACGCACCGACATGCTAGTCTCCTTGTATTTGACGCTCATATCCGTGGCCGTAAGCCTCATGGCCTCGATCGCCTCATCTAGGGTGACGCTGTACACGCCATCACTCGCCATGGAAAGCTGGGCGGCGGTGACCGCTTTCACAGCTATATGAGTGCAATGAGACCAAGACGATCGTATGCGAGTGCGAGTGATCATAACGAGTTGATGAGTAAGAATTGATGGGTTAATTGGGCGGGCCGTGAATATGCAGGGAATGTGCACAAGGTCCATGAATGGATGATTGAATAGACAGGGATGTGAGTATCGCAGGGCCATGCTGATAGCACGTTCACTTACCTCCAAGACTATTACGTTCCTGTCAGGGTGCACACAAAGGCCCACACACCAGAATACCAAATATTCGGACACGCCGCAAATGATACGAATCAAAACGCGACCGCAAAATCGCGCAAAATCGAGTGGAAGTAACCGAGTGAAAGGAACGATGAAACATATTAGCAAATAGGCGTGTACTTGGGGACTACCAGGAACCTACGATGCATGGAACCTGGACAAGCCCGTCGATGGGGTCACACGTTAGCCCGAGATTGTGTTCTATGCGTAGATGAGTTAGGGTCAGCACTAATTATAATCCTCCTTTGCCTGGAAGAGGAAGGTGGAAGTGAACGCGAGGCGACTGCGGAATCCACTCCTCGCCAGAAGTCTATGTCGATATTACTCACCGATGCCTATCTCCGCAGCCTAGAAAAGTTTAAGCAGCATGTTAGCAGGGTCTCTATGGCGGAGCGGAACATGCAGGCGATATTTGCAGGGTGTGGAGAAGGACACGGAGATCTCACCTGAAGTACAGTCTCCGGCGAAGCTGCAGAACGCGTAAATATAAACACAAATCAGGGTGTGTGCAATTTAGCGTTTGATCATAATCGCGAAGTCTCGAAAGGGCCACCAACCTCCCATGCACGCTGCAAACCCGGCACTCGCCATCGAACACGCGACTGCACAAACAAACAAACGCGTCCATAAGTCAGCAAGGGGAGCACGAATATCGTAAGCGGGGCAAGTGGTGAGTAGATACCTCCAACCTCCGCCTGACATCCGCCTTCTGCAGCCGATATAGTGCTTCCCCGCTTAAACAGCATACCAACGGCCTAGGGAACGTTATTGAATGCCATAGTTCGAACCGAAACTACCGAACGTACTGCTGCGGTCAATAAGAATGTTGTGATGCTCTTCTCTGGGTCATCACTGACAAACTGGGTTCAAGCTTTTAAGTCACACCAGCACGGAGCATAGACTATAGTGCTAACGCCACTCACCTCGAGGATGTACTTAAGAACGGCCGGAATGACACCCGCGGCACCGTTCGTAGGCGATGTGACGATACGTCCGCCGCTGGCATTGACTTCGTTGACGGCAATAGCATAACACGATAGGAAATCCATGGCTGGAATAACTGTTTTCCTCTACATCCACCCGTCTTAGGTATACGTACCACAATGTCCTGCTGATCACTTACTGGTGGCATTGGCAAAACAGCATGATCAAAGGAGCCGACAACCCTAGCAGCTGGAGATCGCTTCCGGCGCATATCAGCAAGCTTTTGCGACCCTGGGTTCTTCTGAGGAGATGACGCTGAGAAGGGCTTCGAGCTCAGACCCTCGCGGGACCCCCATCCCCCAGGTAACACACCATCTTCATACAGATCAGTATCTCCCTCTGTATGCGGCGGCGATATCACTTCAGAGGATGAAGCCGTTGCACCGGCTATTGCGGGCAGAGTTGGTTGGGAGATGCCTGGGTAGAAGCTGCGATAAAATAGGTAAATGCAAGGTACGATCCAAGGCTAAGTCCGCACCCTCTCATGAGCCGCCTATACAACATCGGAGCACGACGTCGCAGGCCAAGACGGCCAGGCAGCGTTCGTTCCGAAGAAGAGACACCAGTATGGATACATTCATCCATGACTTGCCATATGCGCATCAGCTATTTGCGATCGCAACTTGAGAAAGCTATCAAACGATACAAGAAGGTATATCACCTTATCGTGAATATCATCATCAGTATATCCGAAATACTTCTCGTTGTCATAGACAATCTGTGCTATGGTCATCTGGAACGTGAATGTCGGTCAATTATCGGAATTGAAATTCGTATGTATGTAACTGGATGTAACTGGGGAGGACGACGTACGTTATGCTTCTGCGTTAATGCCAATAGGCTGTTCCCCGAGACAAAAGGATAGGGCGGATGTTCAGCCTCGGGGTCGAATGGTTCATCCATAGGGTCTGGTGTCCGCCCAGGCATTACTGAGGTATTATTTGCTTCATCGTCATTGGTTGAGAGTGCTTCTGTTTCCAGGGCAGGGCTGTGAATCGAGGTTGGGTGGGTGGCCGGATCCGTAAGAGAATGAGTTTGGTGCAATCGCGCGCCGTGTACAGCACGTTTGTCCACGCCCTTGTAAAACAGATTTTCGCCAACTTTCGTCTTCTCGTTGACAACGAAACCTCCTCCGACACTGAAGGACAGGGTAAAAATAATTGCATCATTAGCTAGGTCCAGTCGAGAAGAACGCAGCATGCGCTACCTGAAGTATTCATTTGTGGCAATTAGATCACCTTCGTTATCGAATGCCATAAACCTCATTCCATTGGGATGTGTCTTCAGAACTTGATCGAAACGCCATAGCATGTCCCTATCCGAGTCATAATGGATTAGGTGGGAGCCGCCCAATAAGAGCTGTTTATGCTCCAGAATACTCGAATATCGAGATGGAATAGTACCAGTATCAATCGTTTCGGGGTCAGAGCCTTGCCAACAAATCTCAGTTACAAACACGGTTACACGCAGTTGCCGTTCGTTCCATACCTTCGAGTCCGAGAAGAATGGCTTGAGGCGTATGATGTCTAGACATATTGAGATCAACAATACGCGATTGGAAGACGAAATAGTAAACACACCCTTTGCCTGGATAGGAAAAGGCAGTGAGCATTTACGAAGTTTCGAACATTCCGATAGTTTGATGGTGAAACAATGGGAAAGAAAAGGATGATGGATGAATGGAAGTAAGGCACTAATGAAACGGAATCTCCGTACCCGTCGCTGCCAGTGAACCATACCTAGGCGAGATGATGAGCCAGACGTTCGTTATTCAATGGAACTGAGACGCATACAACGTGATCTTGACTGTCTTGACTTTCTCCAACACGCCCATGGCCTTGAGATCGTTGATAAAGATTTTTCCCGCTCTCATAGGACCAACGGTATGGGACGAAGAGGGCCCAACTGTCGTTATGTTCAAAGAAAAGCCTAGTACCATCCGCTTATATTGAACAACGAGGATCAACTCACCACCAATGCTAAACAAATCAAAGGCTGATATCACAGCATGTTCTGCAGTCACTGACAGATACCGTATGTTCGATGGGGATGCTTGTCTTCTTGAACTGAGCAGTCGAGGCCCTGAGGGACGTGCATGCGTGGAGAATCGTCCAGTTTGTGTCGCCCGTTGAGGTTCGCGTTGGCTCCACCTCACCGACGGCACAATTGAACACGGCTCGGTCAACGCCAGACGCAGTGTACGTGACGATAAGGAAGATAACGACATTTCTTGAACCTTACTGGCCTAAGGGTCCGGAACAAGCTGAGAAATGGCCTGTTCGTGAGTGGTTGGTTCAGATATAAGGAGCACGGAAGTGGAACGCCGCCTGCCCGCAATGGAATGTACAGCAAGAACGCCGGACGTGATTGTAGCAGGTGGGCGCAGGTCTCAAGGGTATGTCGGTTGTCCACGAAAATTATGTTACAGTTGCGATACAAACAAAATAAGGGGTAGATGAGCTTGAATCTATTACATGGCCATTATAAGCTGTGTCTTCCGCGTCGCCTCTGCCACTGAAATCTCAAACAGCCGTAGATGTTCAGCGACCAACTTCCTGCCATCTATTCGGCGAGGTATCACGGGCGACTGAGGCACGTCGCCATCGCCCTCGGGTATCCCTGCTTCCCATCGTTCTACCTTGAGGCGACTGAGTTCTGCGTTATCCAACTCTATGCGCCATGTGCCGATCTTATTCTTCAGCGCACGAATCTTGCGCCCCGCCTCAGTAGTAGCCGCACCTGTGACTTGTGTCTGCTCTGATATTGTACCAAGCGACGAGACGAGTGAGGATGTGCAGGAACGGAAGGAGGTTAAATGTGGTATAGTTTTTGCCGGTGTCAAAGGGCCGCTAATCGGTGGTGGTTTGCTGAACGGGTCGGGATGATCGTTATCGGCCACTGGTGTATGAGGATCTATATCCCAGCCACTAGCACTGCGATGTGACGTTTCTATGGGAGTTCTTTCATGCCTGCTCGCCTGCTCGGGTTCATCGTCTTCGTCAGACTCTGCGTCTGGAAGCTCCTCCAAATCACCCAACACATCCATCCCGCCCAGACCCGTGGATATCTTCCTGAACTCTCGCTCGACCTCTAGCAATTCTCGGACTTGCTCCTCTCGGTCTCGAACTGTATCGTTGATGCGTCTAATGATGTCCGAAGCGATATTCTCGAGCGCAGGGTGTGAAGCGGAGTGTGTGTCAGAATCAAGACTCCGGAGATGCGCCAGAAATTGGTCTGTTGATTCCAGACTGCGGGCAAGACTTGCCATAGGTGCCTCATCGGTAGCCTCGCGATGGTAGGGCGACGGACTTGGAGGAGACGCGTCGAAGAATTCGAGATTTCCATTAGGAGAAGTAGCTTCTTGGAATTCATTCGCCAAGGAGCCACCGGAAGAACCCAAAGCCACATCTAACTCTTGCGCTTCCTCGTCGATACCCTCGGCCCCTTCATCATACTCTATACCAAATTCTTCAGCTAGCATCCGCGAGCCTGAGCTAGGTTCAGGCATAAGGGCCACCGCGAGCTCATGAGCTAGGGAATGTTGTCCATTGCCACCGTCTGTTTCTGGGCCGTTTGAGGATACGCGTAGGGAGGCACTGGATTTGCGGCTACCGACGTTAGCGCCATGCCTTGGAGATTTGGTTGGGGCTGAAAGAAAGTGGGATTCTATGTCCTCATAATTGTCAAAGGAGGACATAAGTGATGAAGAATGGTCGTTTCGGCGGTGGTGGTTACGGTGTTCGCGATCTCACGCGAGCTGCAGCAACGTCAATGAGTGTCGGTTTAGGCGATCAATCATGTGATTATCTCATAGGGGCGTCAGGGGAATATGATATGTTTCGCTCTTAGCCTGTCCAGCCAGCTACAGGTATTTGTGCGCCAGAGAACTCGTATCGTTTTCTACACACACGAATTATACTGCAGGCCGACGAGTTGAGTGGCCAGTAATGTACCTTGATGTTTTGATTTGATGGTCGTCCTTGATCAATCGCAGCGGTTGGGCAGTTCTCCACCAATGACAATTATTCATCATTCATTGCGACAAGAAACTTCCTTGATTGGTTAGTTTTGATCCATGCTCGACATGTCGTATGTAGGAGCACTGGCGTGCATTTCAATTTGGTTTGGCGATAAATTGCCAGTACTCAGTCACGTGGCGTGTGAAGGCTAATTTCCCAACCCAAACCTCTTACTACTCACTACTTGTGCCACTTTTTCGATTTCAGCCATCGTCTACGACGACGCCCGGGCGAACGAGCATGCAATAATTACGGCCATGTCTACTTCATCAGCTTCATCATTACAAGCCTCATCGTCAAATTCACCTATCACTTCAGCTGCTCTTCTACAACAACATGCATCTGCCCCAAATCCCCTTGCTGCTGCCTTGGAACAGGCAGTAACAGACCGCAATGCACTTGCTGGGCAAAACTCCTCGCTCTGGAAGCTTGTTGAAAAACAGCGGGCGGGATACAGTCAAATTCTGCGCGAACTCGAGCGTGTGAGAGGAGAGCGCGATACATGGCGAGCTCGTGCTGGAGGCAAGAGAGACGACCAACATCAAGGTCACTCTAGCAACAATCCAGACAATAACGAGCCGAAACATTCGACGCCGAGAAAATCCCCGGATGAACAAGGTGAGTCGGTTATGCCGTTACAAGTACGGCAGTTTGATCTGACTGTAATGCAGCACCTCGCTCGACGTCGTCTGCTTCGTTGCACTCCCAATCGCATTCTTCGCTACTACACTCGGAACGACAGCGGGCTGGTTCAGCAAGTTCCCAGCACTCTCTTCCTTATACAAATCCCTCATCCAGTTTATCCAACTCTCGTTCCGTCCATTCTTCGACCTCTGCAGAGCCCAACGGCACCAACAATAATGCAGGTCCTACATCTGCTAATTTATCATTCCCTTCCCTCGGATCATCTCCCATTCACACTCGTACTGCCTCATCTCATCCGCACCCCCCTCAGAACGTCCATCATCAGCACACTCATTCATCGCAGCGTTCACATTCTCCACCAATTAATTCCCTCCCACAAAGCCAGCGTTCTGTACCGGCTCCCTCACCCCTGGGTATCTCGCAACCACTGCGGTCGGAATCGTTGCCAGCTTCCTTACAGGCAGGTCCGCCCATTCGCCCGCCCAATAACACGGTTCCTCCTCCTCGAAAAATGAGCTTGAGTGAATTCAACGGCTCACCCAACCTCAATGGTAACGCATCCCAGCCAGTAGTCAACAACCCCACTCCGCTACCTCACACCCTGGCCCAACCCCAGTTACTTTCTCCCGATCCTGGGCTTGCCTCTCCAAACCCGCCCTTCATGCATTCTCGCGCAGACAGGGATTCCCAAGGAAGCCACGATTCACGAATTACTCTCCCTGAAGAGGCTCGTGCTTACATTGTCAATATGACTGATAGCCCTTTGGCAAGCCCTCATGTTGCTCAGTTCGTCACAAAGCCCAGTGCGTTGAGTGGGAGCAGTCCCAACTCCTTCGATGATGTCAACGAGGCAACGACGATCGTACTTGACGATAGAGTGCCACCGATTGGTTCGGGCCACGGGTTAATGAAGATTGCCAACCCAGATCCTGAAGGGAATGGTCCAGACTCTGCTGCGAGTCGTCGGAATGGCCACACCGATAATCGTGACGGATTGGGATATATGGGCCCTCCTCCCGTCGTCACAGTAGTGCCTGCGTCAGCGGGTCCGATGTCTCCTCCTCGACAAACACCACTTGGACCATCGAGGCCACACGACATCAATGGCACGCGCCTGACTCCTCGCAAGCCGCCGAGCACCGAGGCAACACGAGACGAACTTGGAAGCATGTTCCTTGACATGGATGAGAGCTCAGGACTTGAGGATGGTTCTGGTATTGAGGATGAACCTCTTGATGGCACCGAAGACGGGTTTGACTCGCCTATTCAACGTAATGACCACGTGGCGGGGAGTGATGATGGATATTCGACCGCGAAGGCCCTCGAGTCCTCAAACGATGCCTACAATAAAGAGAGATCCAGAAAAGTCAAACCTCGGGCAGCGGTTGAAGACTTCCCCCTACCTCCATCATCCGATACCTCGCTCGCTCACCCTTCCTCATCGCTTCAGCTTTCCGCCGACCCCGGTTCCTCTACATCCGTGTTCTCCAACGGTATACCTTCGGGCGATAGTTCTGCTTACTCGATCAATCCAAATGCAGCCAACCTTCATTCGGCATCAGCATCAACTTCCACGCTCCTCTCTGCATCTTCATCCAGTCCACCGTCCGCCCTGGCGTCCTCGTCCAATCTCGCCTCTATCCCCTCAGATTCCTCCTTCGTGTTGCCGAAAGGTACTACGACCTTGACTCTGTCTTCCTTGGACAAAGGAAACAAGTTCCGCGCCCTGCCGCTATTAATCAGCGATCTACCGTACACAGCGATTTCGGTATCTTCGTCCTTCGTGCGTCCAAATGAACGTGGGAAGGAGGTTTTGAGCTTTACTGTGCTTGTAAGTATCGACAGGGAGGGTGGCAGGAAGAGCAATGCAGGAGAGCACATGAATGAGAAAAGCAAGCCCAAGGATAGTTGGACGATCGAGAAGATGTATAGTGATGTGCTGGCATTGGACCAACGAGTCAGATCTACCGTAGGGAAAGGTGCGGCCAGGAAGATGGCCAACTTGCCTGAAGGGCGGCTTTGGAAAGACCACGCACCCGCGAAGGTCGATCAGCGCAAGGTGCGTTACACGCCTATGCATACAATTTCCAATGCTCACCCAGTAAACTAGGCTGTGCTTGAGAATTACCTACAGACGCTCGTAAATCTCCCGGTCAAGAACAACGATGAAGTAATCGCTTTCCTTACCTCCGACATTGTGCGTGATGCGAAGAAGCCTGTCCTCCAAGCTGGACACAAGGAAGGCTATCTCACAAAACGGGGCAAGAACTTCGGAGGATGGAAGACGAGGTTCTTTGTTTTGCAAGGTCCCGTGCTGGAGTATTATGACTGCGTATGCTTTCTTAAACATGTCCCTCGAACCGGCTCTAACGTTTCCCTTTATAGCGTGGCGGAACCCACCTAGGATCCATTCAAGTAGCGGGCGCGCAGATCGGTCGTCAGCAGCGCTCGGAAAACCGTGGTAGCACCGCTGACGAAGAAAAAGAATACCGTCATGCGTTCCTCATTGTCGAAGCTCGAAAGAATGCAGCAGGCAATCATCCCCGTCATGTTCTTTGCGCGGAAAGTGACGAAGATCGTGATTCATGGGTAGAAATGTTGGTGCGATACTTCAGCGGCGTATATACGGAGGAGCCTGTTACATACAGTGCGCGAGGTCCCAGTCCAATCTCAACCAACACTCAGGATTTGGACCGAACTCCTAACGGCTACGGCCAGCCACCAGCACGGTCAAGCCACTCCATTGATATACCTCCTCCATACACTCCAACTCCCAGAGAACATGCTCAGCGACGTGGCATGTCTCGAGACGACATCACGATATCGAAAGGCCCGGCTATCCCAATATCTCAGCTAGCGCCCGACGCCAGTAACGCCAAACTCTTCCAATCCACGCCTATGCTCGGAGAAACTACGACCAGTCCTGTTAAGACCCACCCATCGCCAGTGGAGCGTCACGGAGAACGTGAGAAGGCCGGCGGACTACCTTCGAGCCTGCCTGACCCGAGTCCTCTCAGTTCTAGCACTGCGGGCCACGACATCGGGTCGTCTTCGTCTCCACTGCGGTCGAACTCGGAGATGGGGCACTATCCGGATTTGCAAGACTCTGGGAAGCATCGTCAACCCTCGCCCGAGAAGCACCGGGATCGGGCTCGTGAGGTAGACTCTCGCAAATCGTACATGCCATCTTCTAGCACAAGCCTTGTTCCACCGGTTACGGAGCGTGTGCCTTCTCCAGACAAGATGGATAGAGCAAAGATCTCGGGCCCCATAAACGGTACTCCAATACCTGCCGGCTACAAATTTGGTGGTAAAGATGCTGAGGCTACGCCAATCACACCAAGCGATCGGCGAGAGAAAGCAAAATCGCGCTCTTTCTGGAATTTTGGTAGACCAAACGGTAAGTCCTTAGGGCATCTTCATTCTTGTTCAAACTGATAGGGGCCATTCAGATAAACTCCAGCCGCTGCCGACATTCATCCCTCGCGCCGTCTTTGGTGTTCCCTTGGAAGAGTCTCTCGACGTGGCTCAAATAGCCAGCCTTCCGGCCATTGTGTTCCGTGCCATCCAATACTTGGAGGCTAAGCGGGCCGACCAAGAAGAAGGTATCTATCGATTGAGTGGAAGCTCCGCAGTCATCAAGAGCCTAAAGGATAGGTTCAATGCCGGTGAGTTTGTCCTGATAGTCGTTTGTTCTGACGGTATACCAACCCTTTTATTTCCGCAAACAGAAGGTGACATAGACCTGCTGGCATCCGACGAGTACTGGGACCCACATGCCATAGCCGGTCTTCTCAAGAGCTTCTTGCGCGAACTGCCCGCCAGTATACTCACCCGCGATCTGCATCTGAAATTCCTAGCCGTCATTGGTGAGTGAACATGTGCAAGTCGGCCGACACGGACGCTCATCAACATCCTCCAACAGACTTTGTCGATGCTCAAGAACGCATAAAGGAACTTTCGCAATTGATTGCGGCTCTACCAATTGCCAATTATAGCCTGCTTCGTGCTCTGACGGCTCATCTGATACTGATCGTTCAAAACTCAGGTGTAAATAAGATGACCATGCGGAACGTGGGTATCGTCTTCAGTCCTACCCTCGGGATTCCGGCAGGCGTCTTTAGCTTGATGTTGGGGGAGTTTAACCGTGTGTTCAATGTCGACCCCGATTACACCGATGATGGGTCCGATGAAAAGGCTGCAGCTGCTGGAGCGGAGGGAGACCAGTTAACCGTAGGGGACCGTCCAAACGGCACAGATATGGCTCGGCGTAATAGTCAACGATATTCGGACGCTGCCGCCGACAAATTGCTCGGCCTTGCTGGCAGAAAATTAACAGGTAAGCTCTTCTGTCATACCACGCTATGTTCGAACTTCTCACTGATGTCATCGCTTATTACCCTATTCCTCAGTTGCGTCCGACGATGGTCAATCAGACGGAGATGACTTTTCTGTGCAGGATGAAAGTGGCCCAGAAACAGCCGAGGGCGACGTCACGGTAGAATCGTCGTCCTCCAATCTCAGCACGGGTGATTCAGCGCGTTCGCAGCATTTCATTGATCCACCCGAGACACCCATCGCCTCGAAAACTTCCAAGGCTTCTAGCGTCGCAGCGACACGCGGTCTCAACGTTTCTATCACACCGTCAGACAGAGGCCATCGCTACTCCCGAATGATGGGCCTCCCCTCTTCTCCGCGGCCACCCATCTCGCCTCGAACTGATGCCTCATCTTCGGACAAGGCGTCGCCTCAGTGACCTACATACGATCCCCTCGTTGCCGTGCTTTTTGATATCGATATCTTATTTTTTCTTCCATGATGTACATCGTCATTCGCAAGACGTCTCCATGTGTAGTGATACTTATACCATTCGTTCACACGACCTTTGCCTTCGTCATCTGTAGTTATCTCAGCCGTCGAATATACCCATCCCGCGCACCTGTACATTTATTCTTGCTGTCGACTCTGTCATGGACACTGAATGACTTTGGAATGACCGATACTGCATTATGCAATGTAACCCACTTTTGGTCCCAAAATTCACGTGCCACGTTGATCGACCGTCGGTGCGCGCGTAGACGTGTTACAGTTTCTTCTCAGACTCCACTCATCATCACTTAGAAATGGGATTCAGGCAAGCTGCTGTGCTGTCCACGGTATCCTTCTTTCTAGGTTTGTGCATTGCATACTTCGGGCGTAGTGTGACTGACGGCCCGTGGGATTGGAAGGTGTTCTGTTCATATGTTTCACCGTGGACCACAGATTGTTGTACACTGAACTAACGCAAGAGGCAATTCAAGACGGTTTCATCTTCTACACGACTTTCTTCAATGCCCCTCCCGCAATCAAGGTGTGTTATGCCGTTAGCGGTGTTTTGGGGTTGCCTGACATCTCTTTTCCCCGCGCAGGCACTCCTGCACGCCATGGTCGGCGTTGGCGTCGTTGGCTTGATCTCCAAGCTCCATAAATGGGACGATAGTGCTATGTTCTTTGATGGTACCAGCTTGGGTGAGTATCACTCTCTACAAACTTCCACGAATGGATGCATAACATAATTGTTATCTCCGTTCCGCTGGCAAATCGGTTCTCGACTCTGATGAACTCACACTCACATACGTTGCTGCTGCAGCTGCATATGTGTTTGGAATTGCAGTGTACATCACCGTGACGATACCAACTCTCCGGACAATTGTCACACCGGTCGTCGGCGTTGACACGGATGAAGATAGGGCTGAAGCTCTGCGGGTATTGTCCGCAGGCAACACCATCATCATTCTCTGCCTTGGCGCGATCCTAGCACTCCAGGTCGGTATTTTCTTTAGCGAAGCCCGAGGCTGCACACACGCACACGTTCAGCATGAGCGCTGACACCTGGATCATTTTGTTTTATCTCAGGCTGGCCAGGTATACGCTAGGCGAGCAGAGGCGCGGGAACTCGCCAAAATTCGTGAAACAGAGAAACAGAAAGAACAGCAGGCTGCTGTCGGGACTGACAAAAAGGATCAATAGATTGACGTTGATCTCGATTCCGACTCGGATGGATATTTTGCTCTACAGCACCGTGCGCCATTCTTCTAATACTCCGTGCTTCATCATATAATATTATTTCATTTCATTGATGAGCTGCTTGCGCCCACCACATGATGGACTTCCTTGTCATGCGCGTGTTAAGGTTATAAGATGTTGTAAGCAGCACAATCTGGTATACCCAGCCAACTTGTTCCATCTGGAAATTTATCAGCTTGACAGGGGGCACTGGATGGAAGGACTTCTTTGCGTGTGTACATTCGCTGACCTGAATTCTTTTTCATCAGCCAGCCGGCGGAAGCAAAGACATGCTGTCATGTTGTCGTTACCTCCACCCTCCCTTGCTGTCTTACGACACATTCACTCGATTCTCGCTTCGCAAATAGAATCATTTTCTCCCGGCATGATCTTCTTCCCACTTGCTCCTGCCTTTCCCACTCAGGTTCGTGCTAAACACCCATCGCGAGCACTCCCCGGGGTTGATGATACCTTGTGACATGTCCACTGCCGCGGCGAATGCAGATCTGCCATTGTTCAATCACGGAATTTCATGATAGGTTGCTGTTACTGCCCTTCGCTGCATATGCCATCGATCTTTGTTTTCCCTGACGGAAACAAATACTCAGATCCGTGCACGCATCTGCAGGCGTCCGTGTAGTCTCGTCCCTTCGCATCTGTCCCTCGGTTCTTGCCAACCAAAGTCCGCCGTCCGCCCAACAATCATGTATCAGATCCCGCCTCGATATCATAATCAAGCTTCGGGACCTCAACGCTGCATTCATTTACAACCCCCATCGCCAATAACAACAATCCTCTTCACGTCTTCAGGTTCCTGATCCCCCAAATCCACAACGCACTATCACGCTCTCAGAGTCGAGATCATGTCTGTCTCTTTTACTTCCCTTAGACTTGTTCCGGCATTCAGATATCTACCATCAGTCCATCAACCCCGTGGCCTCCCATGGTACATGTTTTCATCTCGGTGTGTTATTTGGAGCGCAGCCCCAATTGCCCTTAGAAACCCTAGAGGCACTTGAGGCCCAGAGACTCCCCAAGAAACACGCTGGAACTCATCCGCGCCACACATTCATTCCCTTCCCTTCCACAGGACGTTTCTAAATTTGCTCGCCATCGTACAAATCGTAAATGGCATACGAATATGGTATACAACTACTATCAGCATCAGCATATCAGTGTTCCACTCGCATTGTTCCGTGCGATGGATTTTCACGGCTCCATCCGTATCATCATCCTTCGCTTCTTCTAATTCTAATTCTAACCCCACGCCTCCCCACGCTCGCATCCAAATGTTCAAAACCTACTTTCCCATTCCGAGCATGGATGCGCAAACGCAGTACGAGGATGCCCATAACTGGAACGATTCTGATTCCCAACAGAAACAAAACAGTAGAACAGGAACGCTGCCGTTCCTCTGATGTCCCTCTGATGATAATGCTCTATGATGACTATCACCCTCGGGTCTCCCATTCCAATTTCTGTTCCATTGCCTTCACCGAAACTAGCTACCATGCTGTCACTGACCCACTAGTGCTAACAGAAATGTAGGAGAAATAAGAAGGTATTCTACCTGGCAAGAACGGGAAAGCGTCCAATTATAGGTCTCCCACCCAACAACGGGTGACTTGTTCCTGTTATACTGTTATTATCACTGCACGCTTCTCCCCCTCTTTTCCCTGCGATCGTGGGTGCGCTCCCATCCCCCCTAATAATGTGACTGACGCCAAACATACTCCTCAGGCTATAACCCAGAATACGGACCTTCCCTCCCCTCCGATGCTTTCTGATCAGTAGCAACAGTAACGTTATCACCTCACAGATTTCCTCCCTTCCCACCCCCTGTTACGACTCGCGAACTCGAGAAGTGCTTTCTGAATCAGTTACCCGTCCCCGTTGCGTCGGTTTCCCTTTCATCGTCTATTCAACCGACGTTGGGTTCAAAGGGTTGGATTAGGCACCACCAAAGAATCAAGACTCAGAACGCAGAAGGCAATTGAATACATTCATTCACGAATTCCGAGTCCCATATGCCATGTAGACTCACACGACGGCCAACAACGCCTATCCTATGCCTTTCGAGATGTCTAGCTAAAGTATCTAAGACTATACGCTACATCCGCTACCGTCAGTCGTGCAATATGGATTCATTTATCCACTATAGCCACATCAATATTTCTCATGGATGGGAATTTATCGTGTCCTCACGTTGCAACGGTGCGACCTATCACTCCCGCGAACATGCACCCCGAGTATTTCATGATTTCATTGCTCGGGTATACCGCCTCCTGAGCCTCGACTGATTCATAGTCTGCGACGTTCCCAGCTATCCGACTGCCCGACTGTCCGACCTTAGCTCCCGGTCATTAATACCAGAATCAATTTATCATCATTTAGCTTCGTACTGAGTGACCACAAAGGGCACACCCAGAACGCGTCCATAAACCCGTACTCGGTGGAAGCCACGCTTACCGTACCACCATGTATTTCTTACCTCACTCTCACCCTCGGACTACATCAACTCGTTCTTCATCCACAACGTCCATCATGTTCACATACGTAGTATTGTATAGCATAGCACACCCATTTCTTCCAGAACACCCATAAATAAAACCGCCCAATCCCATCCCCAATTGCGAACGCCAAATGGTCCAAACCCCGCATAAGAACTCCTTCTGAACTTATACGCCACATCACCGCTAGCGAAGGCCAGCGCCGGCACCAACCTTCGAATAGAAGAAGAGACATTAGTCCGTAGTGATGTAGGAGACGTGCCCGCCTCCTGTTCCCCTATTGCCCAATAGGGATATAATTGAAGAACAACTTCGCATTTTTGATTTCTTGATTTCTTTGATCCCTACATCTGTATCCAGGACCGAAACAATGAATAGCGAAGCTCGGGACCTACTGAAATCTGCCAGGGAAGTGATGGGGCGTTGGTAGAACCTGCCACTGTCAATGCCAGTTCCCAAGAGTCAAGATCGCCCTCGAGGATAAATCATGATGTTGCCCAACACGTCTACCAGTGATTGATCATCATACATCAGTTTTGAGTTTGCTTCACACTCTACTCGCACCGCAAAGTCAACCTTCATTAATCATTATGTTAATCATTCCTGCAAACGTGAAGGTGAACACTGAGCGTAATGAACGCCGAACAGGTTACGGCGTGTCCTCGAAGTCCCTCTCGAGAGTCTAGCCAAGGTGTCCCACTTCCTTCCGAGAAATCCAGGAGTAGGTGCGCTCTCAGGCCGCAGTGCGACGGGTACGATGAGAACGGGTTACACTATGAGTTCCGCATAAGAGGTTACGTACCGATAGAACATAGAGAACCTCGTAGAACCGATGCCGGACTCTGGTTAGCTACCCCCCATATACCCTATGTGGTGATTGCTGTAAATATTTTTGACTTGGAAGTTGACAGATGTTCGTGAGCTGGCATGGAGATTCAAAGAAAGTGACCGGGCCATTTACTCAGGAAAGCCCTCGTTACGACCGCCGCGTGCTGTACATGATAATCGATAACCGGCATTTTGTTTGATACTGTCAGACAGCCGTTCGGTGTATATGTTCAATTAGTGCCACACGTTGTAATCTTTCATAGGGATCATATTTTGACTCCGTCCACCTGTCTGCTTCGACGGTGTAGTGGCAGTGGCATGAAAAACGATCGAAACGACACTGGATGTATCTGGATTTCGTTTGCGTATATTGTGCCTGATGAAAATTTCAACGCCTCAAATCTTCAACAAATCTTCGTTAATCATAATCAGAAGTCAGAATACAGCAGCTCTATCAAGAATCAGAACACGCACAGAAAGGCCTTGCGGCTCGGATTGATTCTTCCGTCCTAAAGTTCTTATCGCTTTTTATTTTCCTCGAAGGCCGAAGCAAGTGGTACGATCGGGGTGCAGGAAGGGTCCGATCCCGAAGACAGCGCCGTTGACACAAGTCCGATAAATCCATGCACAGCCCCATCCCATGTCACGCCGCCTGAACTTGCTGACTAATACGACACAACACTACCCCGGTGACTGTCACCACTTTTGACGCTTTGATTTGTCGCGTCGCGTCGTCGTACCTACGCGTCCATGTATCCCGCCACCAGATCCACGGACTCCTGAAGCTCGAAGCCCGACTCCGAGAAACTCAACATTACGCGGGTTCCCATGCTCAGGACCTCCTCTTCCATATGCATCCCACGTCTGCCGCACGTCCAATAACGCGTTCTGCTACATGTCCCAACTAACTAGAACTTCTAAGACCCTACGCCGAAATAACTTTGGAACGCTCCAAATGGACCATATACCTTTTTGCAGTCGCAGATGCCAAACGGGTTCGACAGGGCGTCCATTGTCCTTTCCCCAGGCTTGCTTCTAGTTCAATATACCCGTACCTTCGACACGGGTGAACAGACCCAATATGCCCGACACCCGACGCCTGGAGCATTCTGGGCCGCTGAACTAGCGTCGGTCATCGGTTGTCGGCTGTCGGTAGTCTCTGGTCCTAGTGGTTGCACGACTTGCAGTCCACACGACTTCCTCGCGATGCAAGCCCACCATCAACTAATGTCTCCGTATTCACGCGGTCTATACTGCCTATTCTCGTCCTCGAGCTGGTCCCCGTCGTTCTCTCACCCCGTCTTCCGTAATGCAAGAACCAAGACCCGGGAACCACAACAACAATCTCGTTATCGACGTCGCGTTAGAATTCGATCCTATTGATGTACCACCTGTAGGCCACTTCTTCAACGTTCCATGGACTTCTATCTCTGTTCCTCTGTTCGTCTGGTGCGCCTTCTCTCTCCTCTCCTCGAAAAAGAATCGAATCTTTGTGGTCCCATGTGCGTGCGTGCATACACCCACATGCGCCCACACATCTACATCTGACTACGAATGATACCGTCCTCCTTGTATCGACATATCTGAATCATTGTCTCTCAGTAAGTTAGCAAGTTTGGTACCTGG